AAGAACAATTCTTTTTTAAGAAGTACTTCACTTTCAGTGAAGGTGAAATAGTTTTAAGAGTTGTTAGTCACTAGCGCCAGTCCGTTGCCATTTGAGATTTTGAGATAGAGCAGCAGTTATGCTCTTGAGACTTTAAGATGTGCAGCAGTTATGCTCTTGAGAATCGTGGTGAAAAGCCACCACGATAAATTTTAGATGTAAGGGGGATGAATCGTTAGGACTCTCATAACTAAGTTTAAGTATAAGGAAAGCCTGGATGGACTCTCATACGTATGAGTTGGCAACCTGACTTGCTAGTGAGGGATCCCCGTGTCAGTCAAAAGATTTTAGTTGAGATTTGAGCTTTAAGAATGGAGATTCACAGTAACTTCCATACAGTTTTAAGAGTTAAGATTATAAGATTGGAAGTATAAACTACTTCAACCAGTTAAAGTTAAGTGTTTAAGCAAAGTACTCAAGTATAATAAATTTTAAACGTAAGGGCGTAGACTGACCCCATGTCACTCACCAGGCTGTAGTAAAGGAATAAGCGAGAACCAGATCGATAACACCTAGCTAGGGGAGCAGTTTAACAGCAGCGAGATCGAGAGAGTCGCAGGAGGCAAGCCCGCTAGAGGAGGATAGTACGAGTGTCACTAAAGGTGCGAGAGATTGAATCCGAGCAAATAACAAATTAGAGTTTTAGTTATTGCTTTACGATTATGAGTAGTTACAGGAGATTCAGATTAAGAGTTTTGTGTTTGAGGTTTGCCCAAGTGTTAGGGCTTTGTTTTAAGAGATGACAATTTAATTTTAATATGATTAAAGTAATTTATGAAAGGTTTATGTTATTTTTTTCCAAGTCTTTTATAGTTCAAATTTTGATTCACGCTTTATCAAGTGTATTTTGGTAAAAGTAGTGTCCGGCCGGACTAGGGTGTTTCATGTGCGTATCAATCTGGAATAAATTGGCTTCGTGGTGATCGGGACATGCTTAAAATGAGTTTTCTGCGTTTTTTTTGACAAAAACCCGATCACTCACTTTAAAACCCGATCGGGTATTTTAACGTACAGACCAGGGAAATTCTCTAGATTAAAAACCCGGTCTGAGGCCTTCATTCCCGGATTGGGGATCTCTTGGCCACGGCCGGGGTTTACCCATGCAAAATACCCGGTCTAAACCCCCTTTTTCCCCGATTGGGGAATGAGAAACCCAACCGGGGATTTTTTCCTTTAAAACCCCAAACCCATTCTCCTTTTTTCTCTCTTCCCCATTTTGCGATAACTCCTTTCTTTGTCCCTCTCCTTTCTCTCACCGGGAACGCGAATTCCCTTTAGTTTTTTGTAGATCCGGTCGCATACGACCTCCAAATCATGATACGTTTGTGGATTCGAGATCTACTCTCCGGGGGGCACAATCCCCAGAAATTCAGTGATTTTCACAGGCTTTTGTCTTCATCGGCCTTCCTCCCTGCCTCCGCCGCCGGCAAGACTCCAATGAGCCTCCAACAACCTTTCCCAAACAGAATTTTGGATGCATTTTCGTGTCCCTCGCCCTCCTCTCACCTTCCTCTACAGTCCTCCTTGTGTTTCCAAGTTTGTGCCTTGTGCTTTCTTGGCTATTTTAGGCGAATCAGACTATGGACGATAGGATTGAGAACTGTGATTGATCTACCATGTTTGAACTAGCTTAGGGCGAGGGATGTGATTGGTTGTGGCCTGATAATTTATTGTTGTATGCTTGCATGCTTTTTACCAATCTGTGTCATGATTTGTGCAAGAAAAGTAGTCTGCTTTGTTGATATTCCTGCATATGTGATTGCAAAGCAACTCTTCTAAACTCAACTGCTTTGCCAGGTGGTTCTTGAGAGCGGGCGAATTGAATATATGTTATCATGTTTCTATCGGGTTTTGCCCCGGTGGCTCCACCTTTGGCTACTTTCTTTTGCGGGATCATTTCTCATATCCACCACTATCTGCGCCATGTGGCTCCCACTGCCGAGGCTTAGTCGAAGTTCCATGAGGTCATGGATGGTTCCTTCGAGACCCACAACCACCTCGATTTTGATGTTCTCCAGTCCTCTACTATTACGGCGAGATGGCGTCCGCAATTGGCAATCATGATTGGCGCACTCTCCTGTCGGTTCAGGATCCCACATACAAGGAGTTGGTGTGAGAGATCTACACCACCTACTCCTTCTGGTCTTCGTCACCTCTTGACTAGCACGATGTTATTATCTTTCGGCTGGGTGGGACTGAGAGAAAGATGAGCATAACTAGCCTTGCTCGAGCCTTGGCCATCATATACCTCCCCGAGTATGGTATTAAGGAGGCAGCTAACACCCTGGTTTTCGTGTCAACGACTTCTACCACCAGCTTGTCGTCCGGAGTCTAGTGAGCAGCAAATCGAGGCCGGGCAAATGTCACCACTCTCTGACCTCAGTGGCACATCTTCAACCTCCTTCTCACTCGGTGGTTCCCAATGCCAGTGGTCCCCACAAGCTCACCAAGCGTGTGCTCTACTGCTTGTACACTATGTGGGATCCGGACTACAACCTACACCTCGGTTCGGTCGTGGCGAAGACTTTTGCCAAGTGCCACGTCAAGAGAACTACCTTTACTGTGGTCCCCTGATCACTCGTTGACTCGCTTTGACTATGACAATAAAATCCCACCTAAGGTCCATGTATAAATCTTAGATGGGTGCAGTTGGGGGTGTTACGAAGATACTCTGCGCACATACTCAATAATATTGCGTCCAACCGATAACGTATGACGCTCGAAACCCGCTACGAGTATATAAAGGTATGAAACCCTCCAATGGAGGGGAGCTCTTCTCTCTCCTTCACTTTCAACTTTTGTCTCACTCTCTCTAAACTTTCTCTCTCTCTACATGATTCTCTCAACTCACTCCACATGTATACTAACTTGATCGTCGGAGCTTAATCCGTGGGGCACCCCCGCTTTCCACAGGTTTCTTTCCCTCCCGACGAGATCAGGCGAGCGGATTGTGAGTCAAGACCACACCAACAAATATCATTGTTCATACCTCGAGTTAGATGGTACAAACAATTGGCGCTCACTGTGGGGCATGATTAGCACGTTCTTCGATCTCCGAGGGAGGAAGAGACTAGTGCAAGTCGAGAATCGGAAAATCCTCGACAGAGGAAAAAGGTGTTCCAGATCTGGACTATTTTGGGAGGAAATTGACTTCACGAATCTAGCAGAGGAGACAACAGCAATGGAGGCTTCTCAAAAACAAAAGAAGAAAAGCTGGATTCTGAAGACTTTGTTCATCACAAAAAAAAAAAATTCAAGAAGCTTCGCAAATGAAAAGGAATGCCGATCTGAGAAGTTTTGAGAAGAAATGACTCTTCCTTCACCAATTACAAGGCCCGATGGCCACTGCAAAAATGCTTCCAAGATCGGCTCTTCCTTCACCAAACCAACTACTTCTTTGGTTGAAAAGGGAATATTACACAAAGAAAAATAGGAAAAAGGTTCAAGATTTGGATGATCCCAAATCCAAAAACACCAGGTATATCAAAAACAAGAAAGCTCCTCCAACCCCAAGTAGCCTTCCTCGACACTGACTCGAGCAGCATCTATATATATATATATATATTCCTGGTACCCACCCGGTGACAATATCGACGCCGGAGTTCCCATGAAAAAAAATAAAGAGTTGCAGTGGTTGTCAGTGTCATGTTGTCCTTCTGTAGCTTTTCCCCCTAAATGAGCTATCGATACTTTTACTCATTGTCAGAAAAGCATGTGGACGCAAATATTGAGGTACACAGACATCGAGGTAGGCATGTAGAGTTATTGACCGGACACTCCTCGCGCGGCAGGCACTCTGTCCGCCCGAATCTCCGCTATCATCAAGTGCTAGCCCCGTCACTACTCGGATTTAGTTGCGCGGCTGAACTGCTTCGCCGAAAAAGATACCCCTGTCGGGACGGTGTCCTACGTCGCCGACAACACTGTCCTCTCTCAATTAAATGCGCAAGAGGGAGAAGCAAGTAAAATTAAATGCTAGCCTTGATCCTTGTGTTGAAGAGATCCTCCTTTGGGGAAGGAATTCCCAAATCGTTTCTTGGAGATGAAACCCTAGGTTCTCTTCTTCTTTGGTTCATCACTCTCTCACTCTAAAATCTGAAGAAGAAAAAGTTTCTCACACTAGGTCTCTCCCCTTCTTCTTCCTTTCAGATGACTCATTATACTGAGATCGAGCCTAGTTCACGGCCTGAGTTCACGGCAGTGAACATCAAAACGCGTCCGTAAACACAGCGTGCCGAACCAAAATGCATCGCTTCACTTCTTGGGTTCACGGTTTGCGGTTGCAATTCACTATCTTAGCGACGGTGAACAGCCTTGGCGTCAGTAACCTCAAAACCCTCTTTGGACGCTCCTTGGTTCACGGATTATGGTTCCAATTCACGGTCCTATAAGACCATGAACTCCAATGGCAGACAGTGAACACCTGCTTTCTCCTCCTCTTTGCCCGGTCTTCGCTCCTTTTCTTCTAAATTTCGACTCCAGGGTTGGTTTCACCTGTTAGGATATGAAACACACTGAAACACAAGAAACCTCAAATAAAATCACCCCTTTTGGAGTTCAATTGCAACAAACGTCAAAGAGAAATGAGGATAAAAAATGTACATTTAGGCCCGAATCACTCCCCCACACTTAGACGTTAGCTTGTCCCCAAGCAAACCATTTCACACAAGGTAATATCTCAACCTAAAAAAATGCTTTGGGGACAAATCAAAGGGCACAAAGTGGCGAATCTCAATGGCTATTGGCAATTAACATATGGATTGTTGCAAGCAATACCGACATCCACCACAAACAACATTCGAGGTCACCAAAAGTGGGCAAGCGAAAAATTCACAACTTGTTCATGAATCAATGCAAGTCTAAACAAGATCACTTATCAACAACACTTAACCGTGCATAACATTCGAGTCCAAGGAACAAACGAATGGGCAACAAAGGTCCTCACCGAGGTACTGACTCGCTCCGAATATCACAATTAATTCCCGCCTAAGGTCCAAGCTAAGTATAAACCTTAGTCGGGTGCAATACAGGGCAAGTATGTTTAAATATCGACTCGGGTCGGGCCTGTCCGTGTACCCCTACTGGCCATTCAAGAGGCACTCTCGGTTAAGGAAATTGATGGTTGACTTACTCCCTCACTCAACCCAATGATTGGTCGACTTAATCGCTCTTAACCAAATTGCTTAATTCAACCTAGAGTTTTTCCCTACATTAACCTAGATAGGTGGCTTAGAAAGCCCTAGGAATCCCAACTCAATTGGGCCCCCCTTGAAAGGGGGTCTTCCCTCTCTAATCTAGGTTAAAATGGCAAATTAGATTTCTAAGCACAAACATGCACAATCAACATGAAAAATACCTCAATCATTGAATTAAACAACACTCATAAACAATCATTCAATTCACATAACAAAAACTACATGGTTGATAGTTAGGGTTTCACAACACCCAAGTGAAAAAATAAACTACTCCATGCTAGAAAGGGGAGAAACACAAGAGGAAGAGGTAGAAACCATTATGGAGATGCTTCCAATCTTCTTTGAGCCTGTGCTGAACTTCTCTTAGGGAGAATCTTCCCAATTCACCACTTGGAGCAAACCTTAGCCTTCTTCCTTCATTGGTTCGTTCTTTCTCTCTCTAAAATCTGAAGAAGACATTTTCTCACTCTTGGGCTCTCCCTAATATCTTCCTTTCGGCTCTCCTTTTAAACAGGGATCGGGCTCTGTTCACGACCGTGAACTCTTGAACGCGTTTGTGAACTCAAGGTTGGCGTCGAAACGCACCGCTTCACTTGCATAGGTTCATGGGCAACAACTCCTGTTCAGCGTCTTAGTGACTGATAGACCGTTAATTACACATGTTTTTACCCCTGTTCTTACACCGTTTGAGATGTGATTTCTCGCGTTTTAGGCCGATTTCACGTTAGGTTGTGCTTGTTTGTGATATTTCAGGTCCTAGTAAGTGAATAGAGACTCGGGAGCGAGTTTGGGGTCGATTGGACGAAGATCGGGCGCGAGGCAAGTCACAAAGGAGGCCACACGGGCACAGCCACAAATAACACGGCCGTGCAACTCATATTTCTGGCCGTGCGAGTTTTGCCGAGAGCAAACACGGCCTGCCCGGACAACTCACACGGCCGTGTTAAGAAGTGGTCTGGCCGTGTGACTTTTGCCGAGAGCAGACACGGGCAGATGGAAATCAAACACGGCCGTGCCACTCTGGCCGTGTGAGAAGCCTAAAGATCGAACTAAGTGCAACGCAGCGTTTTGACTCACACGGGCAACTGGGTATGCCACACGGCCGTGTGGCCTTGCCCGTGTGAGTCGGGATTTCCTGGTTTTAACCCAATTCCGGGCTGCAAGAGAGGGGATCGGACTTTTTGAGCAAAAACAGAGTTCTAGAGAGAGAAAGGACGAAGAACACACCCTAGAAGCCATCTTGGAGCTGGGTTTCATCAAATCAAGCTTGGAGATCGTCATAGGAGTGGAAATCATCATCCCAGAGCAGATTTTCCTCATCTTTATGAGTATGACTACTTTGTATCTTGTTTTCCTCTCTCTCTCTATGGAGTAGAACCCCTCTCTCACTTGGGGATGAAGAACCCTAGTTCTATGTGTTAGGGGATTGATTGTAATGACTTGGGATGATATTACTGTTTGATTTTAATCGAATGATGCATGTTTATTGAGTCAATTGAAGTCTGATCAACTTTTCCTGATTCCTGCTGCAATCTGAGATAGATAGAATCTGATTAGGTTGCTAGAGTCTCATCATTCGGTAGTAGGAGATTGGCTATACGAGAGTTAGCCAGTTTACTGCTTTGTACTGGAATCCAATTCCAGTAGTGGAGTTCTGTTCTTACTACTTCAGCTTTCTATCTCGGTGAAGACTAGTCGTCTGCCGGGCAGTCAGACTGAGAGGGCTTGGTCAGCTTAAGAGATTCCAAGCTACTGTCGGATCTTCCGCAGTCTAATCAACAGTAAATCAACCCAGGGAAATACAATTGAAACCTAACTAAGGAGCTAGGGGGATTCATTCCCGAGTGACTCTTTCCTTCTTAAGAAAACCGTATCAATTCCTGCTTTATTTCTGCTTTTAGTTTAAACAACAATCACTTACTTTAGTTGGCTAGATGACTCAACTCTACTGTCACTCCAGGAATTGGCCAAGTGAAACCACTTCCTAAAGTGTAGTATAGCGGGTTAGGTTTATATGTCAACCCGGGTCCTAGATCTGATGACTACTCAGTGAATTCTTGTTATCTAGCAATGAAACTGGCATGCAAGTCTAAACTACCAAACAAACAAAGCAAGTAAACTGTTGTATTCAGGTTAAAGAGGTCACCCGGATATGGTTCCCCCTAGACTGCAGTTAAGCCGGATTGTAATTACCAAGTTCAGTTTCTATGAAAGTTATACTGCGGAAGATTCTTAAACAGCCTGAAGTCTCGACTAAAGGTCTTCAGACCCTCTCAATCTGAATCTCTAGCGGGCGACTAACCTCCACCGGAGTAGACAGATTGAGGCCTTAACAAACAAAACCTCCACTACCGGAGTAAATCCGGTACAGAATAGTGAGTTGGTTCCTCGACTAAAGTCACCAACTCCCTACCTTCAATCAAGGATACTCTATTTACCTAGGCAGATATTCTCATTCTAGGTTAAAGCAGAAACAACAGGAATTTGATCAGGATTCAAGTCATTCAATCATTAAAACCTCAATCGAATATAATCAATCACAGAATCAGCACTTGGGTTCATACAATCAAAGCCTAACATACAAATCTAGGGTTCTCCATACCAGATGAATGGGAGAACTACTCCATTGAGAAGAAAGCAAAAGCAGAATCAGACACGGAATTCATACTGCGAAGGATGGATTCCTGCTTCTGGACGTTGATTGGCACTTCTCCAAGCTCAAACTGGCCTCCAATGGTGTTGAAGATCAATCTAGGGCACTTGGGAACTCTTGCTCGTCACTTTCTCTCTCTAGAAGTCGTTCTTTCTCTCAAAAACTCGAATCCCCTTGAATTGTGGCTGAAAATCTGCTTAAAAGCATCAGTGGCCAAAGCACGGTCGAGGGCACGGCCGTGCTTTGCCTGACCCCGCCCGTGTCTCGGCCAGGGCTTAATTACACGGCCCGCAAGTGGGTTAAACACGGCCGTGCTTCGCGTTGGACACGGCCGTGCTTTGGTGGAACACGGCCGTGCTTCGGTGCACGTGTTTGCAGCTGAATTGGCCAAACTGAATTTGCTCTCGGCATAAAAAGCACGGCCAGCAATACACGGCCGTGTAAGGCCTTGGGTCTGCCCGTGTTTTGGCTCCAGCTCACCGAAATGACTTCCGAATGCCCCGAAACTTGCGGTTAGCCTTCCCTTTAACGCCTGGGACCTGAAACATGACAAAATAGCACAACCCGGCGTAAAATAGGCCAAAACACACGACTATGCCCCTCAAACGGATAAGAACTAGGGGTGCAAATATGTGCAATTGCATCGTTATCAAACTCCCCCACACTTAACCGTTTGTTTGTCCCCAAGCAAACCTAACTCAAACCAATGCAACTCTCCAGACCTCTATAGCAACAAACAACCCAGATCGTAAGTAGAGGACTTCCTAGGTCATTTAGCAGCTTACGAGGTCAACCGACGCACAAGTCATCTCAAAGCTTCTTATCGAGTCGGCATCATGGCAAAAAGTGAACAGAGGACAAATGAATCGTGGATGGAGAGATTCTCAAAAACAAAGGATCATGGACTCACATTTTTCAAGGTGCTCGATTTTCTTTGAAGATGGTTGGAACCCCTTTTTTTTTGTTTTGCTTGTTTTCTGTTATTTTTCTTTTCTTTTTTTTCTTTTCAAGGGTCCCAACCTGCTCTTACCGGCCATGCCAGGAGCGGATGTCTCGAGCCTCGTGCAGGGGAAAGACATGTAAGGGGGCTGGAGGTAGTAGGTGGAAATTGGGAACGGATTCCCGTCTCCCCTTACACACTTTCGCCCTATTCGCACGGGAGACGTTTATTTTCAAGCACATTTTCGAGCACCTGTTATTTTCAAAACATGATACAAGAGTCCATGACAGGCAGAGAATCCACAACACCACACAATTCAAGGGTCCTAAGATCACTAATTCACTCAATCAACCAACACAATATGAAGAAGAAATGAGACTTCTTAAATGCATCAACATCCTCCATAGAGCTACACTACCTCCCTAGGTTGCATATTACTATAAAGACTGTCAATTCAAAGCATACTGAGCAGGCAATTGCAAGGAAACACGTACTTGGAGCCCTCAAATTTAAAAATTTGGACAGTGGACTAGGCTCCAAGCACACAAACAGATCTAATGCAGTTAAAGATAAACATCCCCCCACACTTAAGCTCGACATTGCCCTCAATGGAGAAGAGGGAAGGATAAGGGAAACGATGTTACCGGTATGCATGGACTGCAGGAGACTGGAAACGGGCCAGTCGGGGCAAGCACAGCCAAAGGGGCACAGAAGAGCTCAAACACAATATGTTAGGTTCAATGGTCAGCCCAATAAAATATCATCCAAACCAAAAGAAAACAAACCAAACCCAAAACGGGTTACAATCCGACTCAAAACACAAGAAAGAAAATCAAACCATGGTGGGGTTGCCTCCCCACAAGCGCTTCTTTACCGTCGTATTAGCTGGACGCCCATGGTGGATACTCAGGGCGGTGCAGGAACAGGTGCCTCCAAGAGCGGATCCACGTCGCTCTTGAGGTACAGCTTCAGGTTGTGGCCATGCACCCGACGGATGCGACCACCCTCATCAGTCAGCTCGACCTGCCCATCTTGCAAGATGCAGGAGAGCGAGTACCTAGACGGCCAGGGTGGTCGTGGTGCAGGAGGTGGGACCAGCTCATAGTGGTCTCCACTCTTCTTCCGTGCAGGCTTAGCAACCTGCTGCTTCGGCCGCCACTCCTCCTTGAGCTTTTTGTTCGGAGGCGTGGCTGGATGGAGTGGCGGCGAAGGAATGATAGGAGGGTCCTGCAAAATGAGAGGAGCAGAAGGATGCACGACAGGCTCGTGTACCTGATCAGACATGGCATGCACAGGCGTGACAGCAATCATAGCACAGTGATCAAACTCAGTCACAGAAAAAGTAGCCTGTTCATTCCCAGCACGCAAGATCAATTTACCATCATGCACATCAATAAGTGCCTTGGCGGTGTCAAGAAATGGCCTACCTAGAATCAAGGGCACATCCACATCCTCATGTATATCAAGAATAACAAAATCAACAGGATATGTGAATGCACCAACACCAACAAGCAGATCCTCTATGATTCCCCTAGGATGCACAATAGAACGATCAGCTAATTGAATGCTCATCCTAGTAGGGCTAAGTTCACCTAGGTCTAGCATTTTATATAACTTATATGGCATGACGTTAATGCTAGCGCCTAGGTCCGCCAAGGACTTTCCTACATGCATGCTGCCAATAGTAAGAGGGATAGTAAAACTCCCTGGATCCTTGCGCTTCTCGGGCAGCTTGTTCTGCAGGATAGCAGAACACTCCTCACTGAGCATCACTGTCGAAAGATCCCCAAGTTTCTTCTTGTTGGTGCAAATATCTTTCATGAACTTGGCATACTTGGGCATCTTCGATAGTGCCTCCATGAACGGTATGCTGATGTTGAGCTGCTTCAACATTGCCATGAACTTGGCAAACTCAGTCTCCAGCTTGTCTTTGTGTAGGCGAGTGGGGAAGGGAAGCTGGGGTACATGCTCCTTAACCACTGGTTGTGGCTTGGAAGCAAGGGGCTTCCTTCTCCACCCGCACTTCTGCATCGTCGGCTGGAAGTGCTGAAGCAGGCAGTGGTTCCTCCTGTCTGGCTGGGACAGGATCAGCAGATATGGTCTTACCGCTCTTGGTAAAAATGGCATCCAGCTGCTGATGCTGGTGAGGATCTCGAGGATTCGGAACAGTGGTGGCAGGCAGAGTCCCCGGTCCCCTGGTAGTGTTTTGGCGGGCCAAGATGCCCACCTGGGTCTGCAGATCCTGCAAAATGGCACCCTGGTTCCGCTGACCTGCCTCTAGTGATGTGATAGCAGCCTGGGTGCTAGTCATGAATGAAGCTAGAATGTTTTCCAGCTTCGTCATCCTGTCATCTGGGGCCGGAGCTGCTGCTGGCTCGGCAAACTGGCGCTGGGGCTGCTGGAATGGCTGCCCCTGCCGGGCTGGTAGGGCTGCTGCTGTGGGTCTGGCCCCTGGCGAGCCTAGAAGGGCTGCCTCTGCTGAAAACCACCTGCTGGTGCTGGGAAACCAGGTGGTTTAGTGGTGTTGCTGCTCTAGGCGAAGTTGGGATGCTGGCGCCACCCTCATTATATGTGCTGTTGTATGGATCGAGGCGCCTCGCATTGGCGATGAAGGCCAACTGCTCCTGGGGTGTGGTAGACTCCCTTATAGCCTAGCAGTCCTCCACTAGGTGATTGGAGCTCTCACACCACTGACATTGAGCTACTGGAGGTGTAGCCAAACCTCTGCCCGGAATCAGACTGTTGGGCTGCTTCAATGTCTGCACTAGCTCAGCTACCTGCTGCTCGAGCCCGGATCTGGTTTCCATGGCGTGCACACCACGGTCCCGGGACTGTCTGCCTCGGCTACCCTGTCCCCAAGAATGATCTCTGGCAGCCAAAGTACTGATTATCTGGTTCAGCTCGGGTGGAGTCTTGGTAAGAATATCCCCTCCTGGGCATAGAGACTCAATCACCCTCTGGCTGTCTGGAGAAAGGGCACTGTAGAAGTTCCCCACTGTGAATGCATCACTGAAGCCATGATGGGGGCACTGCCAGAAATAGCCCATATACCGCTCCCAAGCATCACGAAGTGACTCATCTGGCTCCTGGCGGAAGTGGGTGATCTCCCGCTGAATCTCTGTAGTCTTCGATGCCGGATAGTACCTGTGCACGAACTTGTCAGCCAGATCGTCCCAAGAGGTGATGGACAATGGGGGCTGGGTCTCCAACCACCTCTTAGCATTCCCCACCAGAGAATGGGGGAAGAGATGAAGGCGGATTGCATCATCGGGGACACCATTCAGCTTGAACCCGTTCGTCAGCTGCAGAAAACGGGAAAGATGCACCCTGGCCTCCTCATTCTTCAAGCCATGGAACTGGATAGAAGATGTGATGAGCTGAATCCAGCATGGCTTGATCTCAAAGTTGTTTGCTGGGATCGGCGGGTAGAGCATGACCGGGCGGATGTCAGCAATCCGCGGAGTGTAGTAGTACTCCAGGGTGGGACCCGGCTGCGGTGGATGATGAACTCCATGATCCTGGGGTATGGGGTTGTTCCCCAGGACCTGATTCACCGGGGGAACCTGCTGAGGATTCCCCTGGTGCGGATTATACTCTCCGTCCATCCTGTGCTCTTCTTCAGAATCACTGCTCAGGTGGCCGTCTATGCGCTCTTCCGTAGCCAGTCTAGCTCGCTGTTGTCTCCTGAGCTGGCGACAGGTGCGGTCAATCTCTGGATTCAACGGCAGTAAACCTCCCGACTGGCTACGGGTCATGCACTACCTGCACACACTCAAGCAACAAACCCGTGAAGGCACAAGTGGGACAAAGAAAATAAAGCAAAAAGAAAAAGGCTAAATTAACAGAAATCACTTTTCTTCAACAACCTAGCCGTCCCCGGCAACGGCGCCAAAAACTTGACTCAACTCTACTGTCACTCCAGGAATTGGCCAAGTGAAACCACTTCCTAAAGTGTAGTATAGCGGGTTAGGTTTATATGTCAACCCGGGTCCTAGATCTGATGACTACCGGGATCGTTTTCAGAACGTCCTGGCCTGCAAGTTTGGGCAGCACCATTACTGGTCGAAGCGCGAGTTGGAGAAGCTCAACTGCTATGAGCACCTCTCCCCCGTTGTCACCAACAAATACTGGCGCCGCCTACTCAGCATCTGCGCGACGGTTTACCATGAGCTCGTGCTTGAGTTCTACACCACCTTCAGGCACGCAGCCACGGATGATTGGAAGGATGAAGCTGCAGTCCAGTTCCGACTCGGGGGTGAACCACGCTCCATGAGCTACGACGAGCTGGCGGACGCCCTTGGCCTCAACCTGGTCAATGACAGGACCTTCATCACCGAGATCGCCGAGCCAGTAGGGGTGGACTTCGGGAGGCTGTACTACAACCTCGCTCGGCCACGTCAGCTTCCCTTCAAGGCGGGGAAGACGAAGGCCACCACATTGCAGCTCGAAAACCGTCTCCTCCATCACATGCTGGCCAAGTCTTACACCCCAGCCTCCGACAGTGCCAGCGCCATCACCAAGCGATCCCTGTACTTCATCCAGTCCATGTGCCAGCGGGATCATCCCCTACACTTGGGCTCGGTGGTGGCGAGGACCTTCGAGAAGAGTGCTTCTGAGCTGAAGAGACTCCACTGCACTCCTCTCATCACCTGCCTGGCAGAGTACTTCCAGATATCTCTGCAGGGGTGCACAGAGCAGGGAGCGACCACTCCCTTTGGCCGGGCTACGCTCACCAAGATGCTCCTGCTTCGAGAAGAGCGAGGAGTCATGTGGATAGAGGGGTTTCCTCAACCTCAGATTCCAGAGGCGGTCCAGCAGGAGGCTCTAGAGGGTGCAGCTGATGAGGAGGTCCAGCACGAGGACGTGGATGACACTGCTGCCGCCCGCCCCACCACCTTTGAGTATGGGGGTAGGAGTTCCAGTTTCCCGGGGCAGGAGTACTTCACCTCCCAGTTCGAGCAGCTGCGTCTCCAGAACTAGCAGATCATCGACCATCAGATGCAGTTCCAGCAGCAGTACGCGGCTCACCAGGCCGAGTACCACCAAGGATGGCTGGTTACGATGAGAGATTGGACCAGCTCCAGACCCAGCAGGGAGTGACTCTCGCCCACATCGAGCGAGAGAGGCGCCGTTCTCGGCGCATGCAGGAGGTCCAGCAGCATTTACTCCAGTTGCTACCGGGCGAGCAGCCCGTTTGGAGGACTCCCTAGGAGGACTCTCCACTTCCACCTCCCCCAGCGGATGGTGATGATGGTGCTGATGGTGGTGACGCCTTCATGAACGACATCAACTTCGATCTGCACGACCTCGGCGACGAGTAGGCTGTACTCGTTGCCCATCTCAGTGTGTTTTGTTTTTCGTTTTAGACTTGTGTGTGTTTGCTCCATGTGTGAGGAGCTTGAACTTAGTGTCGTTTGTTTTTGTTTTCGGTTTTCTTTTGTGGATTGTTTTTTTTTCTGTTGCCGTCTGGGCTAACACTTATCCCTAACGCATAGTGTGCTAGTGTGTTCTTGGTGTTCGATTCGTGCAGCACTGTCCATCTTCCCGTTTGTTTCTCGCTGACTGGTCCACTTCCAGTACCCCAGCAGTTTCAATCCAGTAACATCGTTCCCCTTCTCTATTCCTCTGCTCCATTGAGGGCAATTTCGTGCTTAAGTGTGGGGGGTGCTTTGTATCGGTTGGAATGTATATATGTGTGCTTGGAGCCTAGTCCACTGTCCAAATCTCGAGATTTGAGCGCTCCAAGTACAACTGTTTGATCATATTGGCACTGTGTTTTGATTGATGAATTGAATGGTTTTCGGATTGATGCATGACAGCTTGATGTGACTAGGACAACCTATGATGAGGACTAAGACGTGCAGTAGAGTTGTGTAGGGGGTTCAGTTTTTCAACTGTTTGCTTACCAACTGTGACTTGGATTGATTACTTGTTCTTGACAGTCTCTTATGCATCTAGTTCAGGGTATCAGAATGTGAGATAGAGCATATAGGTAGCCATGTGAGATTTGAGCCTGCTCGTTTCTTTCTTGTGCGATAGATCCCTCTTCCATGATGTGTAGCATTCACGTTGTCACTAGCTAGGATGATGGGGGCATAGGATTGGCCCACGACCAAATTTGACTGTCCTTATGTGTCATATCCCCTAGTCAGCCCTTTTGAGCCGTGTGTTATTCTTTCTTTTGGTCCGAAATGGAAAAAAATCACCATGTTTACATCTTTTAGAAGGTTCCACAGAGTGGTTGTTACATATTCTCTGCTGTTTCTGCTGAATTTGATGTGAGTGTTGGAGGTAGTGCTTAAAAGTTGAGCTGGGCAGGTGTTTGAAATATATGCAGAAGTGGTGGCTCTCGTAAGAAATGCAAAGAAAATGAAAGAAAAGCAAAGGAAAAAAATTGAAAGCAAAGAGAGCCACTACCAAAAATCTGAATAATGCCCAGTAAGTAGTGTTTCTTAGCAGCCTGGCTTGGAAATGCTGACATTTTTACCTTCTTCGCTCTTGTGCTCTTGAGATATTGAGTAATGCAGAATAGCAGAAAGGAAATACCTGTTTGTTTGACTGTGATTGTTTGGGTTTGGAAATGTGGAACCTTGTGCTATGAATACTTCCACCACCTAAAAGGCCTTTTCCCCATGTCCAAGACCCTATCCAGTCATTTGAACCTGTGTCTAAGACCTCCTGAGTAGTTAGTGGTGACACCCCATATGTGAACTCTAGCATTTAGAGGCTGCCATCATGGTGAAGAGATGTTAGGGACTGAGAGAAATAACATGCGCATTTTTCGCATCAAATTGCCCTGACCCCACTGGTCGAGAGTGAGTGATTCATTTTCATATTCTATATACTCTTGTACCCCGGTGAGGACCTAGATTGCTCGGTCTTTATTATGATGTCTAGAGTTGGATGCATGAGTTGACTGTTTTGAGTAAGTGGTTGAGTCAAGTCTAGGTTGGTTGGTGAACAGAAGGGAGACTCTTCCTTTACTCGATTTTGCTGCACTCGAATGTCCTTTGTGGTGGTTGTCCAGGTTGCTAATGAAGTTGCTCATGTGTTGATGTTTGAAAACTAGTACGATTCACGTGTTTTGTGCCTTTATGACTTGTCCCCAATGTTGATTGATTGAGATATGTAAGCTTACCTTGTGTCTGACTTGGTTTGCTTGGGGACAAGCAAACGGTTAAGTGTGGGGGAGTTTGATAGACCGTTAATTACACATGTTTTTACCCCTGTTCTTACACCGTTTGAGATGTGATTTCTCGCGTTTTAGGCCGATTTCACGCTAGGTTGTGCTTGTTTGTGATATTTCAGGTCCTAGTACGTGAATGGAGACTCGGGAGCGAGTTTGGGGTCGATTGGACGAAGATCGGGCGCGAGGCAAGTCACAAAGGAGGCCACACGGGCACACCCACAAATAACACAGCCGTGCAACTCATATTTCTGGCCGTGCGAGTTTTGCCGAGAGCAAACACGGCCTGCCCTGACAACTCACACGGCCGTGTTAAGAAGTGGTCTGGCCGTGTGACTTTTGCCGAGAGCAGACACGGGCAGATGGAAATCAAACACGGCCGTGCCACTCTGGCCGTGTGAGAAGCCTGAAGATCGAACTAAGTGCAACGCAGCGTTTTGACTCACACGGGCAACTGGGTATGCCACACGGTCGTGTGGCCTTGCCCGTGTGAGTCGGGATTTCCTGGTTTTAACCCAATTCCGGGATGCAAGAGAGGGGATCGGACTTTTTGAGCAAAAACAGAGTTCTAGAGAGAGAAAGGACGAAGAACACACCCTAGAAGCCATCTTGGAGCTGGGTTTCATCAAATCAAGCTTGGAGATCGTCATAGGAGTGGAAATCATCATCCCAGAGCAGATTTTCCTCATCTTTATGAGTATGACTACTTTGTATCTTGTTTTCCTCTCTCTCTCTCTATGGAGTAGAACCCCTCTCTCACTTGGGGATGAAGAACCCTAGTTCTATGTGTTAGGGGATTGATTGTAATGACTTGGGATGATATTACTGTTTGATTTTAATCGAATGATGCATGTTTATTGAGTCAATTGAAGTCTGATCAACTTTTCCTGATTCCTGCTGCAATCTGAGATAGATAGAATCTGATTAGGTTGCTAGAGTCTCATCATTCGGTAGTAGGAGATTGGCTATACCAGAGTTAGCCAGTTTACTGCTTTGTACTGGAATCCAATTCCAGTAGTGGAGTTCTGTTCTTACTGCTTCAGCTTTCTATCCCGGTGAAGACTAGTCGTCTGCCGGGTAGTCAGACTGAGAGGGCTTGGTCAGCTTAAGAGATTCCAAGCTACTGTCGGATCTTTCGCAGTCTAATCAACAGTAAATCAACCCAGGGAAATACAATTGAAACCTAACTAAGGAGCTAGGGGGATTCATTCCCGAGTGACTCTTTCCTGCTTAAGAAAACCATATCAATTCCTGCTTTATTTCTGCTTTTAGTTTAAACAACAATCACTTACTTTAGTTGGCTAGATAACAGAGAATCACTGAGTAAGCAGTAGATCTAGACCCCGGGTTGATAATATAACTTTCTACTTTACTGCATTCCCGGTCTGCGATTACACTTGGTCGCAGATTGGTGTTGTGTTTTAGAGCATCAGTGACCGTGAACTCACCTCGCGTCAGTAACTTAAGATTTGGCACTGGATTACTTGGTGTTCACGGGAAACAGCTCCTCTTGACGGTCTTAGCTGACTGGAAAATCCAAGAGAAACCGAGAACTGCCGGTTTTTCACATCTTCTCCCGATTTTCGCTCCTGTTTGTCCAACTTTCGACTCTGGGGCCGGTTTCACCTGTTAAATCCTGAAATATGCTAAAACACGAGAAACCTCGCATAAAACCACTCTTTTAGGAGCACAATTGCCACAAACGCCTAAGGAAAAGGGGGTAAAATATGTACAATTAGGCCCGAATCAGGTACGATATGACATGCAAAGCAAGAATGAATCATTCACTCCCTTGACCAGTGGGGTTGGGACCTTTTTGGTGCAAAGAATGTGCACAATTATCAACACTCGGCCCTATCGCCTCTTCACCATGACGGCAATCTCTAAATGTTAGAGTTCACGGGACAGTTGTCATCACTAGCTTGTCCGGAGGTCTAAGACACAAGTTCAGATGACTGGAAATTGTCTTGCACGTGGGGAAAAGGCTTTTTGGGTGGTGGTAAACACATCATGAGGTCCTACATCTTCACCCTAAATCCGAAGTTTCTATGGTTTCGACTAAGAACCTTTCCTACAAACAATGGCCACTAGCATCGGCCAAAAACCTTGCGTCCCCATTCCAAACTATCACCCCATCATGAACTACCTTGAAGCGCTATTCCTCGGTCTACTCTTGCTATCACATTTGATTTGGTAGTGAAAGAGTTCTAAAACAATTTGGGGGTTTCAATGGCTTGAGTGCCAAGAAACCCCACTTAGAGCATACTCTTTGATTCTTTTGTGGCACTCTCTACTTTATTTACCCCGTTTTATTACCTCTTTTTCGTTTCTTTTTCTTCCTACTTTTTTTTTCTCTTTTCTTTTCTTTTCTTTTTTTAAGGGCCGAGTGTTGATAATTGTGCACATTCTTTGCACCAAAAAGGTCCTAAACCCTATAAACCATGGAAACTCAAAAGTGAGAGCTCCAGGACACAAGGACGACTCATGTTTAGACAGGAAGAAAGGATTGGGGGTCGTTCTATCAACACCATTAAGCTCACAAGCACGAAGCTCCTACTTTAAGAACGACCCTCGAAGTCACAAGGCTCAAAGGGGTTGACTAGTGGATCACATTTCGGGACAATCAACATTTAGGCGTGGACTAATCCTATGACTCCATCATACTCACTAGCGACAACTGTGATGTTACTCGCCATGGTAAGAGGGATCTAAGCAAACAAGAAGAAAATGTTTGACTCAAAACTCACATGACTACCTAGTCACCCAACCATCTATTCCAATTCACAAAACAAAGTGCATGGCAAATTGTGGTCACAAGTAATCGAGTCAAGATATCCATTAGTTTTATGCACACATGGGAACTAAACTTTTGCACTATCCTAATGGACCTCTCAGTCATCATCATAGGATATACTCGATCACATGCAACAAATCAAGATCAATGCCAATAAACATGAGATTTTCACATGAACCGGCCGCTTTGATCATGCAAACATTGCTTTGAGCCCTCAAAATTTTCAAATTTGAGCATACATCAACGCTCCAAGCATCAATCACACTCACACAAAAGAAAGAAAAATAACAAAAACAAGTTCAGAGTTACAAGTGGATAAGTGGGACGAAAGAAATCGGCCCTGTCATATGGCTCACTTGTAGGCTACCTCTCGCGGGTGGGTGGACCCTCCCTCTCACTTGGAAGAAGGCCCTGACGTCGTGGCATCAGCTCGAGGAGGTTGGTCTGCCGATCGAGGTGGGAAGTCACTCCCACGAAGCTCGTTTCTAGGCGATCCACCCTTTGGACGAGGGGATCACCTTCTGCTGGTGGTGGTGGTGGCTGGGTTGGGTGCTAGAGCGCGGGACGCCGGCGGCAACCAGGTGCTCGTGCAGGTGGCTGCTTTGCTGGTGGGACCTCTGGATCAGGATCCCATGCAGCTCGTCTCTAGGCGATCCACCCTTTGGACGAGGGGATCACCTTCTGGTGGTGGTGGTGGTGGTGGCTGGTCTGGGCACTAGAGCGCGGGACGCCGGCGGCAACCGAGTGCTCGTGCAGGTGGTTGCTTTGCTGGTGGAACCTCTGGATCAGGCTCCACTGGAGCCGGGTCGACTTCTACTCTGATGACTCCTAATGGTCGGAGTCCCTCGAGGTACTCCACTCCTCGCTCTCTTTGGAGTACCAGCTTCTGGTTGTAAGGGTCGCCACTGGGAAGGGCTCCATCCTCCCGACGTTGGTCCACCAAGCCAGATCCATGTGGAAGTGTCAGGCCATCCTCGTAATGAGGCCCCCCATGTGCATGGTGTCCACTTTATTCCGCCCCAGAAACTGGGCGAAAGAAGTGGCGATCAGAGATCCCAGATGGATCGGATCCACTGGACTCCTCATGGAGTATAGAGCAATTAGCCCAATGTTCGCCATCAGATGGCCTGACTGCAGGCTGGGGACGACCGAGCGGGTGAGCAGAATGTGGAGGATCCTCCAAGGGGTCCTCAACTTCACCGCATTGGTGCAGCTCCCCTCAAACTCGTCTTGCTCGTGCTCGGGGCGGCAGACGGCTCGGAATGCTCCCTGATAGTTGAAATCCACTATGTACTGCCGCTCCGTCATCGTCATGTGGGCGGGGTCGAGCCCCATGGCCTGAGCAAAGGCATCGTAGGTCATCACTCGTGGCTGACCTCCAAGCATGAACTCCACGTGCGGTCGGCTCTTCTTGCTGGGCGGGACGCCGTGGGAGAAGGGGGAGTAGAACTACATGCAGATCTCATGGTAGATCTGCTAATCCACCGTCAGGAGCTGGCGCCACTGGGGGAGACAAAGCACCCCAGACATCGCAGCTCGACACCTAAACAGGTTGAACATGGCCGAGTCCAACCGCCAATGAGGCCCAATCGGGCTATAACATCCCGACTTTTTGGTTTAGGTTCGACCATAATAAGTGAATGGTTGGATTGTATGTTACGTACAAAAAAATCAAATCAAACCGAACCAAACCGGGTTACGGACCAAGGCCTAAATTATACATGTATGGCTTGATGGATTTCAATTGTGGGCCACGTTTGGGGATAAAGAAAAGGAGAGGGCTTAGCCCATGGAAATTGACGTGAGAAATTGAGAGGGGTTTAGAAGGGAGTAACGGAATGGAAGGGAATTAAGAGGGGTTGATTTGGGAGTGAATCATATTTGAAATAAGTGATGGAAATGGAGTCCATTAACTATCAAACGGTTGAGCGTTTTTCTCCAATGGGGAACCAAAAGGGAATAGATCAATTAAACTTGAAGGGTGGGGCATTTATCTCTTCCACCGCTCAAGGGAGTTGGCGTTCACGTGAAAGGAATCAGAAAGAACGAAAGAAGCTTGCCATGGCGTTGAGACTCTAAGGGTGTGAGCGGATATAGAGAGGACGTTGGTGCCGGCTGAACGCTGGGAGACTATGTTGCTCGCTGCGATTGATTGAAGATGGAGACGGAGTTATTGGTAGCGGCAGCTTTTGAGAAAGAAATAGGAGCGAGGGCGTCCGAGAGACTACGGAGGAGTAGCAGTGTAACAAGGGCAAAAGCAATTGGTATAAAGGTAATCGATCGTGGCCTATATCTCTCGATTATTGATGATGTTGAAGTGGATTAAGTTGGGTCTGGCTCATAGGAATTGGGATTCATGAATGGGGAATTTCATACTCCTATGTCTGCGTGTATAAATTTGGTGCGATTGAGGTCAAATCATGCCCAGGGAATTAGAAGAAGAAAAAGAGCCATTTGTTGATCCTAGGGATCCCGTATTTGAAGCGGTTAGGCTATGTGCATGCATAGTTGAATTATTCGGTTGGGGACAATGGAATGCATGTAACAACATGGACTGATAAAGTGGAGTGGCAGGACAGCGGGTTATGCTATGGTGGCTACGTTTTGTGCATGGGTTATAGGTATATACATTAGTCTTGATAGTAACATGAATTAACGCTAGCTAAATTAAAGAGCAGGGCTTGGAAATTGAAGGCACCATGGAAGACGTGTGTATATATATGGTTTGGTGGGTAGACTTTGAGGTTGGGTTTGGTGATGAAGTTTATTGATTAGTGCACATGGAATCAGGGACACGTGAAATTAGTAGTGAAGTAGAGTGGTGCATGGTTTAGCCACATGTAGTTCAAGAATTTCACCACTAACTTGAACTTTTATGCGTGGAGCTGGTCATACGTGGAGAAGGAAGAGGGAATTTAATATCATAAGAAAATATCGAATTACTACGAGAAGCAACAACGGAGAATAAGGTGAGTGTAAAGGCGGTAAATTCTACGCCTTACGTATTCTTTTAAGTATTATGATTTTAAGTATTTTAGCGAATTGGTTACCGTTGCTTGGTTATGTTTATGATTGATTATTTGTGCTTTGCTTGAGCTATGATTTGAGGTGGTTTAGTGCTATTTGAGGTGATATGAAGTGATTTTGTGCTATTTACCTTAAAGCGTTATGTTTGAGTTATTCTTAAAGTTTAAGAAACAAGTTCTTTTTAAGAAGTAACTCACCTTCAAGAAGGTGAAGTCGTTTTAAGTGTTTTTAGTCACTAGCGTCAGTCCGTTGCCATTTGAGATTTTGAGATAGAGCAGCAGTTATGCTCTTGAGACTTTTAAGATGAGCAACAGTTATGCTCTTGAGAATCGAGGAAGAAGAGCCTTCCACGATAAGTTTATGTTTAAGGAAAGCCTGGATGGCTTCTCATACGTATGAGTTGGCAACCGGACTAGCTAGTGAGGGATCCCCGTGTCAGCCAAGAATTTAAGTGGAGATTTGAGCTTTAAGAATGCAGTTTTAAGAGTTAAGATTTTTAATAGTGAATGTACAAAACAACTTCCACTAAGTTAAGTAAAGTGATCTAGTATTAATAAGATGATAAACGTAAGGGAGTAGACTGACCCCATCTCACTCACCAGTTTAAAGAGCTAGAGGAGGAGCTAGAGGAGCAGTTATTGAGCAGCGAATTCAAGGGCAGCCAGCTGGAGGAGAGCAGTATAACCGTCACGGAGGATTCTTAGAAAAGGTTTTCAGTAACAACAACATTAGAGATCATTAATTATTTACATTCATGATTATGAGTATAGACTAGAGATCATTTTGAGATTTTAATTATTGAGTTTGCCCATGTGTTAGGGCGTTGCTTTGAACTACAAGTGTGTGTTTTCAGTATTTTATTTATGAAAAATTTTCCCGCTGCAATTTAAGATTTGAGTATTTTATTTATCAAGGGCATTTTAGTAAAAGTAGTACCCGGTCGGGTTAGGGTGTTACATTTTTGTATCAGAGCCGGTCTTCCTCTGTTCCTTGGTCTCCAAGGAATACTGGAATATCGGTCTCGGTTTTAAAGTCTTTTGGTTTTAAAGGAAAGAAAAACGAGTCAAGGGTTTCTTTAAGAGTTTATAGAATCTCCACTATACTCTAATCATAATAAGGTGAATAGCTATTAAAGTACAACACGACATAATGGTAGCACTAGGGTGCGTTTGTTGTAGGAATAGGCTAGGACGTAATTTAGTTAACATGTCGTGGAACGTCAATGAGAGATTCAGGCGTATGGCGATCATCAGTATGAACTGAAAGATGTAAGGCACGCGCCCAACTCAAGTAGAACCTCAAGATACGAGGCAAAGGAGGTGGAGTCTGTGAATGATGTCAAACTAAGGCTCTAATGATCGAGTATCTCGTCGACACGATGGATAGTAGTTCATGATTCAGTTCACCAACCCACTAGTCATTATCGACGAGATGATCATCATCAACATAGAAAAGGAAGAACGAACGTTTACAAAGGTCTATTGAGGTAGTATCGAATGTGCGAGGACTTCGACTCTAAACAGTAGCAAAGAGGAATTGAGTATGTGTTGAACGAGAATAGGGAGGCTTGAAGAAGGTCAACGAGTTTTCAAGGACATGAACCTTCGCATACATGGTGGACAAATAGAGTTCATGTGTCTTTTTTGTTTTTAACAAGAAAGGAGCCACCAAGGAAACTCAAAGAAACCAACTCATAAGATTGGTATATGAATAATGTAGTAGAGCACGACATACATGTGGTTAGATCAGAGAGGAAAATACGATCGCTTCTTATAAGAGGCACTGAACAAGCGAGGAAAGATACTAGTTCGCATGGGCAAGTCGATCAAGATCAAACACAAGGACCGATGGTAACCACTAAATTTCGAGGTCCAAAATTTTTCTTAAGGAGGAGGAAAATGTTACATCCCAGTCAAGGAAATTCTAATTTCGAAAACAACTACGTCTCAGTACAAGACGTGGTTTTCTCAGTTCCTGTCCTAGTTCAAATTTCGAGGACGAAAAATTTTATAAAGGTGGAGGAAATGTAAGATCCCGACTTTTTGGTTTAGGTTCGACCATAATAAGTGAATGGTTGGATCGTCTGTTACGGACAAAAAAAAATCAAATCAAACCAAACCGAACCGAGTTACGGACCAAGGCCTAAATTATACATGTATGGCTTGATGGATTTCAATTGTGGGCCACGTTTGGTGATAAAGAAAAGGAGAGGGCTTAGCCCATGGAAATTGACGTGAGAAATTGAGAGGGGTTCAGAAGGGAGTAACGGAATGGAAGGGAATTAAGAGGGGTTGATTTGGGAGTGAATCATATTAGAAATAAGTGATGGAAATGGAATCCATTAATTATCAAACGGTTGAGCGTTTTTCTCCAATGGGGAACCAAAAGGGAATAGATCAATTTAACTGAAGGGTGGGGCATTTATCTCTTCCACCGCTCAAGGGAGTTGGCATTCACGTGAAAGGAATCAGAAAGAAAGAAGCTTGCCATGGCGTTGAGACTTGAAGGGGGTTAGCGGATATAGAGAGGACGTTAGTGTCGGCTGAACCCTAGGAGACTATGTTGCTCGCTGCGATTGATTGAAGATGGAGATGAAGTTATTGGTAGCGGCAGCTTTTGAGAAAGAAATAGAAGTTGGTCTTCTTCCTCCGGGGATTCTGCAATGTTCGTCCCTACTAAACAACACTCTTCAGAAGGGTTAGAAGGGTAGGCACCCGTGGACATGAGTGCCTCTATGAAATTAAAAAAACTCATCGCAATAATCAACATCATCATGATGGTGAGACAACTTCATGTTATCATCAATAAAAAAGATAACCTCTTCCTCCCCTGCCCTAAGCACTAACTTTCCCCCATACACATCAATTATGGCTTTGGCGGTAGCTAAGAAAGGTATACCCAGGATTGAGGGACATAGACGTTGTCATCAATGTCTAGAATGACGAAATCGACTGGGTAAATGAGAGGCCCTGTCTTAATAAGTAAGTCCTCAAAAACACCCATAGGCCGCACGATAGACCTATTCACCAACTGAATATTCATCTTGGTAGTTCTAGGTTCACCTAGGTCTAGCTTTTGAAACAACTTATAAGGAATTACATTTATACTTGCTCCTAGATCCGCCAAAGATTTTTCTATGCACATATTGCCAATAAAACAAGGGATAGTGAAACTCCCTAATCTTTGCGCTTTGTGGGCAGGTGGTTTTGCAGGATGGCCGAGCACTCTTCATTCAAGGTCACTATAGCCATCCCTTCAGCTTCCTCTTGTTGGTGAGGAGGTCCTGCAAGTACTTTGCGTACTTGGGCATCTAGGTGAGGGCCTCCACGAAGGGGATGCTGAGGTTCAACTGGTCATCAACTCCATGAAGTGGGCAAACTCTGCCGCCATGCGATCATTATGGAGTCGAGAAGGGTTGGGAATAGCTGGAGTTGCCTTTTCCCTCTTCTGCTCTGATGGAGGAATCGAATCCCCCTTCTCCCCTGTGTTTGCACTCGTGCCCCCTTGTTGTTCGGGGAAACTACAGGCTCCATCTTGCTTTTCTGTCATGGGTGGCTTCTTCCTTGGAGGTAGCTCCTTCGCTTCTCTCCCACTTCGAAGAGTAACTGCCCTTACTCCCGCTTCATTGAATTGCTTCTGGGACCGAGCTGCCTGCGAGATAATCCCATTCTAGTGGTCAAGGTTGCCAATAGTGATTGGTGACTTTGCAACCCCGCCTCTATGGTTGTGAATTTCTCGGTCGCCTCCCCTATGAACCTCTCAATTTTTTCAAACTTCTTAGAGCTGGAGTCGACAAAGGTGGTCACTAACTCCTCCAAACAAGACATCTGGTTGGTGTGCACGGGGGAGATAGAGTTCAAATGCTCGTAATGGGTCGTTTCCTCGTTCATCACTTTGCACTCGACTTCCTCATAGCCCGAGCTTGCATCCCAATCATATGGCTTGATCGGCTCCATCCCTTGCTTCTTGCTCTCAAGGATCACCTCAATCAACTTGTCAAGCTTGGCTTCAAGTAGAGCACTTCCTCCCACACTTGGCACTCCTCTTTCGGTGCTTTTCTTCCCACTTCTTTTCAAGCCCCAATCATATCCTTTAAGAGTCATATCTTTGAGCAACTCGGTCACTTGAGATAGGGTCATGTTCATCAACTTTCCTTGGCAAAGAGAGTCGATGAGGATCTTGTCATCTTGGATGAGTCCTCCATAGAAAGTTTTTATCTGAAATTGCTCCTTGATTCCATGGCGAGGGCATTGGAGGAAGTACTCGAATAATCTTTCCCATGCATCCCTCAATGTCTAATCCTACTCTTGCTAAAAGTGAGTGATCTTCTTTCTCTACTCGACAGTCTTGGAAGGAGGACCATATCGGGTCATGAACTTGTAGAGTAAATCGTCCCAAGAGGCGATGGATAGAGTTGGACGGTATTTGAGCCATCGGAGTGCCTTCCCCGCCAAAGAATAGGGGAAAGCCTCAATCTCAATGCCTACTCGGGGATGCCATTTATATTCAAGCTTCCCGCTAGCTCTAGAAACCCTTGGACATGCTCTCGTGGTGATTCATGGGCAAGCCCGTGGAAGTAGGCATTTTATTGAATCATCATCACGAGAGAGGGCTTGATTTCAAAGTTGTTGGCAGCCACGGGTGAATTTAAGATGGGAGATTGGATATCCGCCGCCCGTGGAGCCATGTAATAGCCCATAGTATTTGGCTCATCCTGGGCTCCCGCTTCCACATTTGGTATTGGAAGCGGATTAGCCCCTTGAAGTTGATTCCCCGCCATCTCAACTTCAACTTCTCCTTCAATTCCGGGACCAACTTGTTATCCCCTCTCTTCAATTCTCCTTCTTGCCTCCGCTTTCTCCCCCTCACGAGCTAGAAGTCAAAGAGTCCGGTTGATGTCCTCGTCCAGTGGTGTTAAAGGCATTGGATTGCTCCGTGTCAAGCAAACACTTCACACATAACAAAACAGAAATTAAAAGCTAGATTAACACCAAACAACCTTTTCACGATAACGAACTGAAGCTTCCCAGCAACGACGCCAAAAACTTGACTCGCTCTGATTATCACAATAAAATCCCACCTAAGGTCCAAGTATAAACCTTTGATGAGTTCAATATAGGGCAAGTATGTTTAAATATCAACCCGGGCCGGCCCATGTATCGCTACTTCGAATGTTTGAAACATTATCTAGCGAATAGTTTTCGTAAAAACAAAGGTCTAAAGCTAAATTATTTTGCAAAGGTAAAATGGATTTGACACTAATTGAGAAGGCTTCACCCGGGTGTTGCTCCCCCCGGCTAACAATTACGACTTGAAGGATCGAATGACCATGTGTTGTTTAGGGGGTTATAAACCACAGGGAAGTGTAACAAGTAGCCAAAGCTACCCTCTTAGCCTCTAGGATGAGGAAATGGGATACAATCCAAGCCACTAATGCGACCCTCTCAACCTATTCACTAAGGAATGGTTGTCAAACAAGTAGCCAAAGCTACCATCTTAGTCGCTAGGTCGAGAAAACGGGATACCATCCAAGCCACTAATACGACCCTCTCAACCTATTGACTAAGGAATGGTTAGAATTCACCCTCAAATTAGAGTTCGGATGGCCACCCACAACCAAACCCTAAATGCTAATACGAAATAGGAGGTTTGCCCAGCATTATCCTAACTAGGAGGCAACGAATTACCAAAGAAAACTCAGGTTAGAATGACAATTAGATTGATAGTCTTTCACACAACACAATCATTCATGAATAATACCTCCACATTCACATTAAACACAACCACACACAAATCATTCAATTCATACAAGCATTCACATAATTGTAGCTAGGGTTTACAAACACCCAAGTAAAAAAAGGGACTACTCCATGCTAGGAGAAGGGAAAACACAAGAGAGGAAACGGGAAACCATCAAGAAGATGCTAGCCTTGCTCCTTGTGTTGAAGAGATCCTCTTTTGGAGAAGGAATTCCCAAATCCTTGGTTGGAGGTGCTACCCTAGCTTCTCCTCTTCTTTGGTTCGTCACTTTCTCACTCTAAAATTTGAAGATGAAGTTTCTCACACTAGGTCTCTCCCCTTCTTCTTTCTTTCAGCTGGCTCTTTATACTAAGATCGAGCCCAGTTCACCGCCTGAGTTTACGGTCGTGAACATCAAAACGCGTCCGTGAACACAACATGCTGAACCAAAATGTACCGTTTCACTTCTTGGGTTCACGATTTGTGGTTGTAGTTCACGATCTTAGCGACCGTGAACTGTCTTGTCGTTAGTATCCTCAAAACCCTCTTTGGGCGCTCCTTGGTTCACATATTGTGGTTCTAGTTCACGGTCCTTCAAGACCGTGAACACATGCTGTGTCCTCATCTTTGCCCGGTCTTTGCTCCTTTTCTTCCAACTTTCGACTCCGGGGTTGGTCTCACCAATCAGGATATGAAATACAATGAAACACAAGAAACCTCACGTAAAACCACCCCTTTTGGAGTTCAATTGCACTAAACTTGAAAGAGAAACAGGGATAAAAAGTGTACAATTAGGCTCGAATCACTCGTCTAGCCCGCCACTTTGAGCTGGACTTCCAGGGTTTGTCTGATGCCTTTGCTCAGTTAGGATCCCACCCGCTCAGCAGGAACTTCCTCTTCAACGCACTTCTCTTGTCTTTAGCTGATGGTCGATAGTGGGTGGATGGTCTTTCCATGCACCCTATTGCTGGAGCAGGTGCTGGTGAGAATGAGGAGTCCGAGGAAGATGGTGATGAGGCGACGAGGACGATGATGATGTTGAGATGGAGCCCAAGTTTTCCCCGGCTGTGGATCTCCCTCCACGAGGGAGACCCGAGCGAGGTGTGTCCTCCTCCGGTCCTTCTGTTCCATGGATGGATTTCTTCACCGACCAGTTCCACCAGATGGGCCTTCAATTTCAGCAGTTGGGCCTCCAGAACCAGCAGCTCATAGATCACCAGCTTCAGTTCCAACAACAGTACACAACCCACCAGGCTTAGTAATGCGCCCGCATGGCTGCTTTCGATGAGCATCTCGACCGCCTCGAGACTCAGCAGGGTGTCACCCTCGCTCATATCGAGCGGGAGAGGGCCTTCAGCCATCGGATGATGGAGCACCAGGAGCACATGCTCCAGTCATGCCCCCCGGAGCACCACTAGACTACTTCATGGGAAACATCAACTTCGACCGGCTCGAGTAGGCTGTACCCTCTAGCTCTTATTGTGTTTGTCTTGTGTTTGTTTTGTTTGGGAAGTAGTGCAAATTGGATTAGTTGTGTTTGGTTTGCTTTTCTTTTGGATATTGTGCTATTAGGCTGACAAATCTACCTAACGACTTTGTGTTTGACTAGTTGTTTTCTGCTCTAGTCGTGTTCTTGCCCTGACTAGTCCCATTACCAATCCTTCGCTCTGACTGGTCCACTCTCCAGTCTTGATGCAGTATGTTTTTCCCGGTAACATCGTTCCCTTATCTTCTCCCTTCTCCATTAAGGGCAATGTCGATCTTAAGGGTGGGGGTGTTTATATTTTAACTACATAGATGTGGTTGTATGCATGGATCCTATTCCACTGTCCAAATTTTAAATTTGAGGAGTCCAAGCAACTTTCCATTTTCATGAACATATTGGTATTGGTGTGTTTTTGGAGATCTCTAATGACAGTTGATAGTGATGGATGAATGACTTGTCTGTGACCACGATGACCGTAATGATGACTATAATCGCGGTAGGATTGTGTAGAGGTTCAATCTTGCTTCTATTTTGAACCAACTTGTGAGTTGTGACATGGATCGTTTACTCGCCGTCTACAGTTTTTTATGCATCTAGTTCAGGGAATCAGAATGAGAGATAGAGCATATAGGTAGCCATGTGGGATTTGAGCCTGCTCATTTCTTTCTTGTGCGATAGATCCTTCTTCCATGATGCGTAGCATTCACGTTGCCACTAGTTAGGATGATGGAGGAATAGGATTAGCCCATGACCAAATTGACTTTCCTGGTGTGTCTTACCCCCTAATCAGCCCTTTGAGCCGTGTAACTTTCTTTCTTTGAGTATACAATGAAAAATCACCCTTTTGCATCTCTTTGAGGTTCCACAGAGTGGTTTTTGCATGTTTTCTACTGTGTCTGCTGGAAATAAGATAAGGGTTGGAGGTAGTTCTTAAAAAAAATTGGGCTTATGCTAGCAAGGATGGAAGAATGTGTAAAGGTGGTGGTTCTCTCAAGAAAAGGATGAAAAAAAGGATGAAAAAAAGAGGAACAAATGAAAGTAAAAGAGAGCCACCACAACAATCTAAATCATGCTCATTAAAAAGGGTGTTTCTTAGCAAGGGAGGCTTTCAGGGCTTTCTAAGCCACCTATCTAGGTTAATGTAGGGAAAACCTCTATGTTGAATTAAGAAATTTGTAATACTCCCCTAGAGGGGTGTATGTTATCAAAGTCACGCAGCTAACGACTCAATCGAAAGACCGATTGAGCTCGAATCAAGAACGAAGCGTTCTTAATACGAACTTGGATAAAACGGAACCAAAAGGACGATTCCACACATGGGGAACTCTCGATTGGTATAAAAGGTAGATGCCCGACCCCCATTGAAGTGACTATTCAATTGATATAAAAGCTCACGGTCTTGGAATCCACCAAACTCAACACAAGTCGCAACTTTCACAAAAACCAAAAGGTTCTCAATTCGATCAATCAAATTCTAAGTTTTTACAACGTAAATAGAACGGTATTTAAAGGAAAATGAAACCTAATACAATCATAGTATAACCAGGAAACAATTAAGGTAAAATTATACACTAAAAAGGACACAAAATTCGGGTTTAAACTCCCATTCTTCAAGCGCAAGTAAGCTGCCAGCAACAGTCCAAAAGCAGCTTTCGTACTAACTTCGCGCCTTTCGTTCGAGGCCTTCCCAAACTCCAATTCTTCATCCAATTCCTTCCCTTTGTTCAAAAACATACCTAGTTTCATGTTGTGGAAGCCTTTTGACTTGAATCCCATCCATGCTCCTTGAATTGAGCTCCAAAGTAGGCTTCACATAACAGTTTTCTGCCTTAGTCATTTTCTGGCAGTTTTCCAGTTTTGAGGTAGCAACTTTGAGGCCTTGGAAAACAACCTTAATGACATCATATGGATTCCAAAATCATACCATTGGAAACATGACAACTTTATCTGTAAAACAAGCTCTTGATCTTCAATTTACATTGAGCCATTTTTGAGATACAAGCTTCCAAAGTATGTACCTTGACACTGTTCCAACACTTAACCAAAAATCAGAATTTTTCATGGGAGGTGAGATGGCTTTTTTGGCAAGTAATTGTGACTTCTAGATTGATCCAATTGGGATCATATCAATTTGGTTAAGCGTGATTAAGCCGACCAACCATTGGGTTGAGTGAGGGAGTAAGTCAACCATCGATTGCCTTAACCGAGTCTTGAATGGCCTATAATGTATCCCTCGGTTTGGCAATCGAGAGTGTGGTCTACGACCATATTTGCGTCCCCTAGCGGTTCGCGGTCACCTTGCCCATATAAATCACTTCGATTCACATACCATGGTAGTAGTTAGGGGGAAGCGACACCCGAGTGATCCTTCTCACAAAGAGCTTTCAAAACCATTTACTTTTGCCTTGCTTTACTTTAATTAGAAATCTTTTCAACCAAAACCAATTATCTAGATAATGATACAAATGACTGAAGTAGGGGTACACGGACCGACCCGAGTCGATATTTAAACATACTTTCCCTGTATTGCACCCGACTAAGGTTTATACTTGGACCTTAGGCGGGAATTAATTGTGATATTCGGAGCAAGTCAACAATGATAAGATTCTCAAGTGAAATGCCCTAAACACCTAGGGCGACCTCAAACCAAAGCAACAAAACATGAATCACCATCATTGAGTTTCCCAACATACTCATTAAGAAATGAAGTAAGACAAGAATATTAAATGGTTCTATCTCGTTACTCAAATCCTGCTGACATCTTCAAGATTGTCGCGGATGCTCTCCTCGGGTAACCACCTCTTGATGGATGCGTTCTCTTTCCCTCTCTACACATGGTGAGTGAGAAGGGGTCAGTCTCGTCGTTACTTCCTAAGGTCTTTGCCATTGGCAAAATCCCTACTAAACACATTATTAGAGTTTCCTTCCTAGCACGAAAGCCGTTCTCACTTTCTACTCTAAAATAATCATTCTTTCCACTAGCTTATAGAAGTTCTCTACTTTTATCCTAAACTCATAGAAGTTCTCTACTTCTATCCTTAACTCATAGACATCAATACCAGGGAGCACCGCGTTACATCTTGTCGTCCGGTGTCCCTACCCTAGTATGCCAACCGCGTTATGTCTCGTCGTCCAGTTGCATACCCAACTAGGCAATTGCACTGCGTTACGTCTCGTCGTCCAGTCCATGCCCGGTCAAGGATTCAAAAAAAAAATTCTTTTTTTTTGGCAATAATCGAGGATTCAAACTTAGTTGCTAAATACAAATATTTATTTACTTACTTTGGTCAACCCCGTGTAACACTTTGGCTTGATGAAGATAGTGCACGGAATGAACCCTCAATTGGCCCCTTCTCCCTACGAAGATGTTGCAAGAACAATGCCTTAAGTGTGTCTACTTCCATTTGCAGATGTTCCATCCCACTTCCTAACCGACCCACTTCGCTTTTCAATTCTACAACCTCACTTTTCAGTTCCACCACTTCACTTCTCAGTTCCACCACTTCACTTCTCCGCTCAACCACTTCAATACCTAGAGCGACTACCTCAGTAGAGCACGATGCAGTGCTATATTTGTTGAAACTGAGGAAGAAGAAGGCACAAAATAGGTCGATGGGGTTGGTCCCAAGCCAGTACAACGAACCCTCCCAGAATGCTCTGGACCATGTAGCTTCTGAAAGATTTGTTCATTATCAACAGACCCTTCCTTTCGAAGAGTATGCGCCTTTTCCTACACAAAATTAGTAATCAAGTATAAGCCATATCATATTGTAAGATTACATTTGCTGGTTGAAGCTCTACATATATTCTAATTCATGCACGGAATCAGTATTCAACAATTGTAAGAGTTTAACAAGAATAAACTTTGAAGATTAGTTTTATAACTTGACATCTCGGCTTCTATCCTATGAGAAATAAGAAAAGTAAATGACATCACTGGAGCAAAATAAATGACAACAGTGAAAGTAGCACAAGTGCATATCACATCTTTTCTGTATACATAGAGGACACATAAGTAGTAGGGCTGCAGCAGATTAAGTATCCTCCAAATCTTTTATGCAAACTGAATTCAGTAGGGTCTTGATCAAGTAAAGTAGTAAGAAAATCTTACAATAAGGTTTGTTGCATACTCATTCACATAGGTCCCATTCTTTCTTGTATGTGTATCCTCAAAAGTTTCCAGCCTATCAGGTTCCTTTCCTGTTTGCTTAGTCTAAAAATATTGAGATAAAAGTATTACAATTTTTTATTTGTCACATTTAAGTTTTTAAAGAAAATCAAACATGACATACCTAGTAAAACACATACTTTTATAGTCATCCACCTCGCAAAGCTCATCCTACCACATGTATGTGGAGTCTTCATGTTGCTAGCATTTTCAGTGTTTATCTTACTTAGTCTCTACAAATGATGCATTCATAAGTTTAAGATGTTAAATTTAAAATAAATATAACTACAAAATTCTGAATAAAGTAAATTTGGTCATACCTGATTTGTGCAAGAACTTCTTCATCAGCAGGTTAGGGTCATAATAAAGACTCTTGAGTTTTGTCTTGTAGTCGCTCCACCTTCTATTCACGTTTGTGAGAATCCATTTGCTGGTAGCAGGTGGATATCGGAACTTTGTCTGGTCAAAATCAAAAACAAGGTCTAATCAGAATAATGCAATTAATACTAATGTCTCAATGCCAATAGATCCACCACACAACACCTATAAAATTGACCGTAAAACATATCAATATAGCTAGGGAAAGATTCAGAGGTGTAAACATACCTGAACAATATCTAGTACCTTTGCTTTATAAGGACGAAACTCAGCCTTTCTCCAATTAAGTTCCAAGGGTGTAAACATTCCATTTCTAGCTAGAACTCCAAGGAAAGATGCAAATAAACCTGATTCGGGACCACATGGAGCTCCGTGTTTATTCACCTCAACATCAATTCTTTCATTTGGATCCATGTTCCATAAATCGGCTAGGACTGTTGGTCCTCTCCTTCTGAATCTTCTCCCATTATTGTCTACACATAAGCATAAAATAATTAGATGTAAAAAGAATGTGATGTAACTGTAACTAAATATTCTAATGAATAAAAGAACATATAACATTACCAACAAAGGTAGTAAACTCTTGGGGTATCCTCCTCAAAAACTTCATCTAAATCATCCATTTCTAGGTTCTCTCCTTCTGTTGGTCCTCTCCTTCTGAATCTTCTCCCATTATTGTCTACACATAAGCATAAAATAATTAGATGTAAAAAGAATGTGATGTAACTGTAACTAAATATTCTAATGAATAAAAGAACATATAACATTACCAACAAAGGTAGTAAACTCTTGGGGTATCCTCATCAAAAACTTCATCTAAATCATCCATTTCTAGGTTCTCCCCCTGATTTTCCCCATCTTCATGGGTAGAATCTCCATGGACAGAATGATCATTGTTTACTTGGCCTTTGGCAATGAAGGCATCTCTAATTAGTTTAATCAAGTCTGCCCCAATTCGTGGACTCGATTGAGTGGGGGCAGGATCTTGTCCATTATTCGTCATAAACGAAGGTGAAGGACAAGGTTGTGAAGTTGAAAAGGTAGGTATGCTAGTTCTAGATGTCTCTCCATGAAAAATTCAATACGAATATCCTCGTAAAAATCCATAACAATTGAGGTGAACTCGAGCATTCTCATGCGTTTGAAAATTAACTTTTGCACAACGAATGCATGGACACAAGATTTTTCCTTCTGAAGATACATTTTGGAATGCAAAATCAAGGAAGTATTCTACCCCTTCCTTGTATTCACGACTAACCCTAAACTAGTTCATCCAACTCTTGTCCATTAGTCTGAACATAAACTGAAATCCAGCATATACCTAAAGTGGAAAAAAATCACGGGAATAAATTTATCATGAGAATATTGTTTATATTTTGTGACCTTGTTAATTAGTTCAAATGTTATTGGGTGGAAATGGAGTTTATTCGTTTTCCCTAGTGGACAAGGGAAATTTGGGGAAGAAAGGAAGAGTTTAAGTAGTAAATGATAGAGAGCTCAAATAGATGGCAGAGGAACTGATATCTAACTTTGAATTCAACTAATGAGAGACAAACAGACATGCACTTGGCGAGGAACAACACATAGCATCACTCGAACAAAATGTAAATAGAACCCTGAAATTAGTAGTGTACCTTGTATTCACGTGGAAATTGATTAGCAAAGAATGTGTCCAAAACTTAAAGCAACAGGAAGCCCCTCAAGCAAGGAAGTTGTGCTTTGGACATTCTTCCTTCGACAACTATATAACAATCTGCAAGTAATGTTTGGATAACAGTTAGAATATGGTCTTCTTAAGGGAAAACACCTACATATAATCGAGAGGACTCCATCCATCTAGATTCTCGTTCTAGTGTCTCCTATGAAACCACAGGGGAAGAAACCGAGCAATGGGTCGTGGGAGCTGTTCTAAAGTAGGGAAAGGCAGTAACACTACCACCATATATATAGTTTAAGAGGAAACAACTGCATAAGTGCATATATATATATATATGGCAAAGGCTAGCATACACCTGGTGTACGATGTACACTTGTGTTCACACTTATAAATTAATTATTAATTATTTTAATTTAATTATTAATAATAAATATAATTACAATCATACTCACTCGTTATTTCTTGTATACCTTTTAGTCCCATATCAATTTTTATTGTACATTACGCTTAAATCAATCATTGAACTCGTAATTATATGAATCATAGTACTCTTTTCTCCAAATCATTAATTTATAACACCTAAAATTAAAATTTATCTACAACTACAACCACTGTCCCTACGACTACAATTTACAACACCGTTTTTCGTCATCTGTTTTCATTCATTTTATCTCCTTCATCTTTTTCAGCAGATCCTCTATTCCTTTAACTCCCATTCTCCCCTGATTCAGATCAGCCGCCATAGACTTTAGATCTTCATTCTCCAATCGCCAATCGCCAATCGCCAAATCCCCTTCGCCAAAACACGAGCGTAACTGGTCAATCGGGAGCTGGGATCCCCGCCTTCAGCCATCGATTTTGTCGAAATAGGAACAAGGAATCCCCAATCCGGCTGTCTCTATAGTTCGTAAATGTGAGCTGTACTGGCTAGACCTTAACTTGAAGACCTCAGTCGTCTAGAGTGATCTCGATCGCCAATTCTGTCCAGCTACTATCGGGTCCCGAAGGGATTTCGTGATCTTCGATCGTCTTTGGTGCGGTAGATGAAGCGCCTCTCAAGCAAAAGGTGGAGATGAAATAGCCACTCGAGTTTTGGCGAAGGGGATGAGGCGAATGCGGATCTAAGTCGATGGTGAGCCGATCTGAATCGGCGGAGATAAATGAATAGAGGATTGGGAAGGATATAGCACTTTCTCTCCTCTGATGAAGAAGACGAAGTAGATGAGATGAATAAAGATAAAACGGCAGATGAGATTGGGTTGTAAAAAGTTTTTTTTTTGTGTGGATTAGTTGTGTCGTTAATTCTAATCGCATGAGCAAACTAAAAGTAAAAAGTTATTATTCTGCAAATTGAAAAGGCATGAGCAAACGAAGTTGTAGATAAGTTTAAAGTTAAGGTGTTCTAAATTTATGATTTGGTGAAAAGGATAATTTATATAAGTAGTTAAATGATTGATTTGAGCGAAATATACAATGAAAATTGATATGGGACTAAAACATATACAACAATTAATGAATGGGTATAATTGCAATTATATTTATTATTAATAATTAAATTGATTATAATTAAATGAAATTAATTATTAAATTATTTATAGGTGTGAACACGGACGTACACCGTACACCAGGTGTACGCTAGCCTGAACCATATATATATATATATATATATATATCATCACTAGGTTACTACCCATCATTCCTACAATACCTAGTAGTTTATATCACAAAAGGAAAAAAGGGACATTATTATATAACTGACCACCAACTCACAATTGCCTTTATCTTGTTCTGCTCTTCCATTATTGCTAGCTGGATATATACACCCACAAAACCAACTATACCAACTCTTACCGTGTGTATAATACATATACATATACATATACATATATATATATATATATGGCGAGTTCTACTGTACCTCGGGTGAAATCCGAGGTACCGCATACCTTGAGTATGAAGACACTATCTAGACCTTGAATTGACCGATCTTTCGGACATGATACTATACTCTAACACTTAAAGATCAAAATCTAGGTGTTAACTCTCCCAAATTATACTCCAAGATCAATTTAATTAGAAATAATAATCGACGGTTATGATTCATCCAAATATAGGCACAAAAAGGAATGCACCATCTTAGGGTTTATAGATTATGATTTAGATAATCATGACCTAGGGTTCACTCATTAAGGGTTAGGGTATAATATCAGACACAAAAATCCTGGTAATTCGAGGTCTAGATAGAGTTTCCATACTCGAGGTATGCGGTACCCCGGATTTCACCCGGGGTACCATAGAAGCCACCATATATATATATATATATATATAAAGCAGCCAAAATGGGAATTTTGATCGTAAAATAGTAAGATTTTAGGATTTTACTCAGGGATTCCGATCCTGATTTTACTATAAAATCGGTGGACCTTAAAATTGGGATTAAAATCGTTAAAATCGTAAAATCCTACCAAAATCGCGATTAAAATCTTATGAGAACAAAATAGGTTGTTTGAGCAAATTTTAAAAAAGCGGAACTGATTTGGCAAAAAGGGCAATGATGGGGATCTTCTCAAATATTTTTCCTATTAAAAAAATTTGAAAAGAAAAAATAACCAAATTATGGCTTGGTAATTCTCTTTCCCTTCATCCCATTGAACTCATCGGCAAAATAGTTTCCTAATTACGTGCGGAAGAATTAATATCATTATTAACTCATTAATTGATTAATCAATATATTTTTGCCAAGCCACTAGCATTAATTATTCAATTGGAGTTCATATATTATTAGTTTTAAATCATGATTAACAGACAAAGTTGAAATTAATCTGACCGGAGTACTACTTTGAGTTAAACTACCTAAACACAATATGAAAAACAAGAGCCATGCTCCATGAGCTCTATCATTTCCTCATGAATTATTTTAGTTACGCATTAAATAACAATTAAAATGATGGTCTTGGAACATTAATCTTGAGAATTCTCATTTTCAATGTTATGTGCCTTTGTGTTAGTGATGATTTACCTTATTAATATGACTATTATATCTTAGTTTCTATATGGAACTTAAAATCCTAAGATTTTACGATTCCGATTTTACCCCAGTCTTCAATTTTTGGTAAAATCCTGATTTTGACTGCTTTGTATATATATATGGTGATGTCTTTGGTGCACTCGCTTTTTTGGGTGCATTTAGTGCACTCGCTTCAGAACCGTCATTTTAAACATGTGATTTATGTCAAAATGATGTCAATCATTAATTGGGTATGGAATAGAAGCCAAATCAACCCTATATGTGGGCTGAAACGAAAATCTAATATTACCCACCGTCAAATTGTTATTTTTTTTTTTAACTTGGGGGTGATTTGCAGAGTAGGCGAAACCCAAGAAGGAGAAGAAGAACCAAAGAGGTAGGTTAAAAACATAGTAGAGAAGAAAGCAAGCAAAAGGGTAAATCCACCGGCGCAGGTGACTCCAAAAAAGCCAGTCGTCCGAGTCGCATCACCTCCTCTAGTGAACAGATCCGTAGATGGATTCTACGTCGGATCCGAATTCTTTATTTTGCTGGCCCTTAGCTCTCTCCCGGTTCCCGTCTTCATGAAGAAGAGTGTCGTCGCAGGCTTCTGAACCTCGCCTTGTAGTGGTAGGGAGAGTTGGGATCCAGATCTGCGGAGGGTAGTATTCTAACTTGTCGATTTTGTTCTTTGATTCCGGTCTTTCTTCTCCTTCCTTCCTTAACTTCCTTAATTAATTAATTTTATTTTTCTAAACTGACGCATAATTAAGTTAACGCTACAGTCAGCAATTTTGTTTGCCATGTCATAAAAAAATTGACGGAGTTAACGGAGTCTAACGGCCGGTGACTAATGATGCAACGATTTGTAAAGTTAGTGGCGAATACGAAAGAAAAGTAATCCGGATGGCAAATGTGAAATATTAATTTGAATGACCAAACATGTAATTTAGCCCTTGTTCTTGCTTTTCTAAATAGAATATTAAAATCCCAGGCGTGGAAATTCATTCGTAGGCAATGCTTTAGGCCACCATGGTATCAAAAAGGTTCCATAGAAATAGAAAGCCATTTAGGAAAATAAAAAGAATCAGGGCTGCTTTTTTTTAGCACTTCTACTATGCTATATAGTATTTATAGTATTGGTGCTTTAATGTACAATTTAAAGTTGTACCATAACATTAAATGTATAAGTTTAGGTTGTACCATAAAGCAATTTGTACCATTATGTTATGGTACAACTTTACAACTTGAAGTTGTACCATTACATAAAGGTACAAGTTCAAGTTGTACCATAAAAGAATTTGTACAAAAAGTATAGGTACAATCTAAAGTTGTACCATAACGTAAATGTGCAATTTTAAGTTGTACAATAAAAGCAAAATCCTATAGCACCAATACTATATAGCATTGTAAAATTTCTCGCTTTTTTAAGCTCAACTATGACCATTTAAACTAATCAGGATTGGGAGATCACTTGGAATGTTCCCATATTCAAATTGGATCTATAGAGAATTGGGATCAAGGATTCAAAAAAGTTTTTTTTTTTTTTTTGGCAATAATCAAGGATTCAAACTTAGTTGCTAAATACAAGTATTTATTTACTTACTTTGGTCAGCCCTGTGGAACACTTTGGCTTGATGAAGATAGTGCACGGAATGAACACTCAATTGGCCCCTTCTCCCTACGAAGATGTTGCAAGAACAATGCCTTAAGTGTGTCTACTTCCATTTGCAGCTGTTCCATCCCACTTCCCAACCGACCCTCTTCGCTTTTCAGTTCCACCACTTCACTTCTCAGTTCAACCACTTCAATACCTAGAGCGACTACCTCAGTAGAGCACGATGCAGTGGTAGATTTGTTGAAGCTGAGGAAGAAGAAGGCACAAAATAGGTCGATGGGGTTGGTCCCAAGCCAGCACAACGAACCCTCCCAGAATGCTCTGGACCATGTAGCTTCTGAAAGATTTGTTCATTATCAGCAGACCCTTCCTTTCGAAGAGTATGCGCCTTTTCCTACACAAAATTAGTAATCAAGTATAAGCCATATCAGATTGTAAGATTACATTTGCTGGTTGAAGCTCTACATATATTCTAATTCATGCACGGAATCAGTATTCAACAATTGTAAGAGTTCAACAAGAATAAACTTTGAAGATTAGTTTTATAACTTGACATCTCGGCTTCTATCCTATGAGAAATAAGAAAAGTAAATGACATCAGAGGAGCAAAATAAATGATAGCAGTGAAAGTAGCACAAGTGCATATCACATCTTTTCTGTATACATAGAGGACACATAAGTAGTAGGGCTGCAACAGATTAAGTATCCTCCGAATCTATTATGCAAACTGAATTCAGTAGGGTCTTGATCAAGTAAAGTAGTAAGAAAATCTTACAATAAGGTTTGTTGCATACTCAATCACATAGGTCCCATTCTTTCTTGTATGTGTATCCTCAAAAGTTTCTAGCCTATCAGGTTCCTTTCCTGTTTGCTTAGTCTAAAAATAGTGAGATAAAAGTATTACAATTTCTTATTTGTCACATTTAAGTTTTTAAAGAAAATCAAACATGACATACCTAGTAAAACACATACTTTTATAGCCATCCACCTCGCAAAGCTCATCCTGCCACATGTATGTGGAGTCTTCATATTGCTAGCATTTTCAGTGTTTATCTTACTTAGTCTCTACAAATGATGCATTCATAAGTTTAAGATGTTAAAATTAAAATAAATATAACTACAAAAAACGGAATAAAGTAAATTTGGTCATACCTGAAAGTCTTCAGTATTCAAGAGTTAACGTTCATCCCTCTTAGACTCATAAAATATAAAGCTCAATATTGTTAATATAGTGTATATTTGTATATGTAAAGTCTAGACCACAACATATGGACGCCTAATTTAGATAAATTTCATACATTATGATGAATGAAAAATGAAAGGAAAGTCATTTCCAGCCTATGATAATTGCTAAGAGACTAAGTCAATTTACACAAACACAACAATTCATTAACCCATACCATTGTCATAATTTATTGTTAGGTGAATACTTCTATACTAATCGTAAGATAATTGTCTTAGTTTCATGTATTTTTTTTAACGGTCAACTATAAATACGTGTTGATTGTTATGTTTTATTCATTATATAAATTGCGAATTGTTGCATTAACCGGAAAATTTTCATCGTCAATGATAATGTGATTTTATATTAGTTAATCTGGTTAACCAATTAACCAAATCGATTAAACTTTAGTTTGGTTAATTTGGTGGTTGTATTAATTTGGACGGTTTGGTCATGATATTGTATTCCATAGTTAATGAAATTCAGCCTTATTTGATTTGGTTATAACCATGATAACCATTTGAACACCCCTATATACAGCCTAAAGGGGTCGTACCAATAATTCTCAAATCACTTGCTTTAACCGGACCAATAAACTAAACTAGGTTGACAAGGGTTAATAGGTATTTAATATCCACTTTTCCATTTTTAAGACTAAAGCTCCGAGATGGTTTAATGCTACCAAGTACCAAGTACCAACCGAGGAACAAAGAATTTTTTGCTGAATTAGCATTCCAAGCCCAGCCCAATAGCCCTCCGTGTAATCCAGGAAGGATAGGACTCATAGGAGATTCTATTAGGATGAAATGGCACCTCATTCAGGAACTTGTCATTCTCTCATTGGGTGAAAGTAGAAGGGCGCTTTGTTCATTATAAAAATATATATATTAATTTAAAAGGACAGCTTGGTAAAACCAACGGCCCCACCCGATCATCTCCTAGCCAACAACAATGAAGAAAGAGATCAGTTTGGATATGAGAATCAGATAAAAGGATAAGCCCCCAAATCACTCCACCGTCCGATCAACAATATCTCTCCCAATCGACGGCCCCCTGTTAATCACCAACCTCAGCCACAAGTACACCGAATTTTTGATTCTTTGGCGCAACTGTACTAATACCCACCACATTTTCGGACTCCGATACAAATCGAACCACTACAAACTCGTTCGCCCATCGCTTAACTCTCACTGCCACCACCACCACTCGCCGGAGACCCTCCAAGGAAAATGGCGACTGTCACAACTCAAGCTTCCGCCGCCGTGTTCCGGCCATGCGCTTCCAAATCAAGGTTCCTGACCGGGTCTCCGAGCAGACTTACCAGAGAAGTGGCCATTAAACCAGTGGCTGCTTCGGCCTCCTCTTCTTTGAAAGTGGAAGCCAAGAAAGGCGAATGGTTGCCCGGTCTCTCTTCTCCGGCTTACCTCACCGGAAGGTGAGCTTTTCTTTACCTACTGTTAGGATTATCATCATCAGAATATAATAGGAAATTTGATTGATTGATTGTAGGCTATTAGACCAACTTTTAAGACTAATTGGGTCCAATCCCAAGAAGCTTTTTTTTTTTTTTTCGAATTTACAAAACTCCTCCCTCAAAATCCTGATCAGGCTGATTGAATTGTATTGACTCTTTTTGCAGTCTGCCGGGTGACAATGGGTTCGACCCGCTGGCTCTGGCGGAGGACCCAGAAAACCTGAAATGGTTCGTGCAGGCAGAGCTGGTGAACGGGCGATGGGCGATGTTGGGAGTCGCCGGGATGCTGCTGCCGGAGGTGTTCACCAAGATCGGAATCATCAACGTCCCCGAATGGTACGACGCTGGGAAGCAGGAGTACTTCGCATCGTCCTCGACTCTGTTCGTGATCGAGTTCATCCTGTTCCATTACGTGGAGATCAGAAGGTGGCAGGACATCAAGAACCCCGGTAGCGTGAATCAGGACCCGATCTTCAAGCAGTACAGCTTGCCTCCAAATGAAGTCGGGTACCCGGGTGGGATCTTCAACCCGCTCAACTTCGCGCCCACTCAGGAAGCCAAGGAGAAAGAGCTTGCCAACGGTACTCAAATTTTCAGCACCACTCACGCAGAAATTGTTAGCATTTTGTTTATGCATCAACGTTGTTCTGTATTTTGCTTAATGGGGAATCTGAATTTTGCAGGGAGATTGGCAATGTTGGCATTCCTGGGATTTGTGATCCAACACAATGTGACCGGGAAAGGGCCGTTTGAGAACTTGTTGCAGCACTTGTCCGATCCATGGCACAACACCATTGTACAAACATTGAGTGGCAACTAGATTTAATCTGGGTTATTAATATTCCGTCAGCCTCCTTTTTTGGGTACTCTCTGTGGAACTGGCTCTCTTGGTTTGTGAGAGGAAAAGTGTTTTGATCTTTGGTGTGGTGGTGTATGGCAACTGCAAGAGAAAACCTTTAATGTACAGGGCAAGTAACAACCAAGGAAAGATGGTGGCGACCAGACCACATTCGTTTCTGAATTCTCACTTTACTTTCCAGTACTTATTACTGTTCTCACTGGTCCCTATCATCATCCTAGTGGCTATGAGACTTTAACTCTTCGAAAAATGGAAGATCTCTCTGTTAACTTTAGGAGCAGGGAAAAGCCCCTAGAGATTACAATGTAACGGGAAATTGAAAACGCTATTGGAACTGCAACTGGAGCTCCCACTATGATAAAATAGCTAGGGTTGCTGGAAATTGAAAGGAATTGGGAAATTTAGGGTTTATGGTAGTTTAGATGGAGGAAGAACCGTCACACCAGTCGGTGATAAGGTTCGGGGCAATGCGCCACAACCAAGGGTTGATAAGTCTAAGAAATCACAAGGAAATATTTCTTGCAACTCTTGAAAACTTTTATTGAAGTCTGAATATTGAATTGAATAAAACTGAACTACAAGCCTTCTACTTATAGAGAGGCTAACTCAAAAGAAAAGACTTTCTTCTACACATAGGAAACTGAAAAAGTAATAACTCTACTGCTAGGAAACAAATAACACTCATACTTCAGAAATTAAATAAAGCTAATATAATAAAAGACTATTAAACCAACATGGACAATAATTAATCATCTCCTCCAAATCCTTGTTGGACAAGGATAGTTGTAAGAAATCCTCAATTCTCAATTAACCCGTAGGTATTGTTTGTAGACCCATTTTCACCCATCTTGAATGATCCTAAATTCTCTTTAAACATCCTAATTTGTCTATTGACCCATGGTTCATGTAGAGAGATAATTTGGAATCGAATTAGGTCATAGAGGGTTGGTATAATCCCATCATTCCCTCCCTCTTGGAAAAGATTTGCCCTCAAATCTTCTTGTGACATAGGAATGTGTTCCCGCGACTATATCATTTCCCAACATGAGTGTACTCCTTGAATATTAAGATTAACCACAAACTCTTGAAGTCTTCGTCTTTCCCTACTACAAATTTCTTTGTACGACACTTCATCTCCAATAACAAACTCCATATGTTCACTAATCACATCATAATCACCCATTTAAGTTGAGTTGAAATCGTAGCATAATCGCCCATCTTTAATGACCAAATCTACTCCATAGTTGATGACTTGTCTTGGACTCCTCCTGGCAAGAATATAGCGCAACCCAACAAGTCATTCTTTTCCTCTTCACTAGAGTAGCTGAAATGCACTTCTCTTTTCCCAAATTCTTTTTCGTCAACTCGGAGTACATTTTCAGTTATCTCTATATCTTCATTGTAATACATAGGATTGGGTAGAATCTCATCTTCGGTGGTCAACTCAACATGATTTGTAGAATCTTGAATAAGTGGCAAATCTTCTCGAACATCCATTAAACTTACCCTGTCAAAAGCCATTATCATGTTGGTGATAGACAATAGCTTTTCTTCTATCTCAAGTGCCGGTTCTTCTTTTAAAGGCATTAAAGCTTGAGCATCCTCTCCACAAGTAGCAAGTCCATCAACAAGAACCTTTTCTTCGACTTCTAATTGAGAAAAAGGCAAAGAAACTTCATTCTAAGGTATATGTTTGTTGACTTTGACACTCCTTTTGTCATTCTCACCACAAATTGAGCTTGAAGAATCATCAGTCTGATCAATATCAATGAATCTTGCTTTCTCAATCTCTTGCTCTTCATTCTGAAATTTGCAATATGGATATTGCTTGTAATAGCTTGGCACAAATCTATCATTCATCAACGTCTTCATTGTTTTCCAATCATCTATAGGGTGCCTTGTTTGAGCTTTAATTTTCCGCCACCATAAGCTAGCATAGCCAGTAAGTTTGGCTGCTACGAAACGAACCTTGACGAATTCGTGATAATCTTGACACTCAAAAGCAGAATCAACTGTCCACCCAATCCAAAAATTCTTCAAGATCACTCTTTCCGAAAATTGGAGGGATTTTAATCGTGATATCTCCATGAGTAGCTCTCCTTCGGCCTCCTTCTTCGTCTTCATTGTTAATGCGAGCACCTCGAACAACCCTCCTAGGTTGACTCCTACCTCTATCAGGTTGTTGGTTTTGCACCAACTGTTGAACAGTTGTAGTAAGCTAAAGCAGAGATTCTTGAAGAGATTGCAAGGTGGCTCCACCTTTATTTCTACACTCATCCTTCCTTCTCTTAAGGGCAATCTTACTCTAACAAAAAAAAAAGTTTGTTTTTTTGGTTTTTTTTTTTGACGAAAATCAACTAAAATCTCACAATAACCGGAGCCCTGATACCAAACTGATGTGCCTAAAGTGCTCTAATTGACAATAAAATAGCTAGGGTTGCTAGAAATTGAAAGGAATTGGGAAATTTAGGGTTTATGGTAGGTTAGATGGAGGAAGAACCGCCGCACCAGTCAGTGATAAGGTTCGGGGCAAGGCGCCACAACCAGGGGTTGATAAGCCTAAGAAATCACAAACAAATATTTCTTGCAACTCTTGAAAACTCTTATTGAAGTCTGAATACTGAATTGAATAAAACTGAACTACAAACCTTCTATTTATAGAGAGGCTAACTCGAAAGAAGAGACTTCCTTCTACACATAGGAAACTGAAAAGTAATAATAACTCTACTACTAGGAAACAAATAACACTCATACTTCAGAAATTAAATAAAGCTAATATAATAAAAGGCTCTTAAACCAACGTCGACAATAATTAAGCATCTCCTCCAAATCCTTGTTGGACAAGGATAGTTGTAAAAAATCCTCAGTTCTCAATTAACCCGTAGGTTTTGGTTTGTAGACCCATTTTCACCCATCTTGAATGCTCCTAAATTCTCTTTAAACCTCCTAATTTGTATATTGACCCATGTCCATGTAGAGAGATAATTTGGAATCGAATTAGGTCATATAAGGTTGGTATAATCCCATCACACTACCACCTCCAAATAGGGCTCACTTCCTACAAAGCTAACTATGCTATGATTATACACATTGACTCGGGCATTGCTGCTACGATTGCCTGAACCGACACATTTCACATATATACAAACATCATCTCAACTAGAGAACACTAATGATGTATTAATATGGTACAGCCGGCGCAAAGTTAAACTGCTTCATTCAAAAGAACCTCTTTCACAACACATTATTGGCCTGCAAAACATTGCAAGATCATTTAAGGCGTTTGAATTTCAACAATCTGGCTGTGGCCACAGATCTAGTGAATCAGGAATTAATTCTACAGACTGCTTCTTACCTGAGGGTAAGGGTTTTGGTCAAAAAGTGCAACACCAGAAGGTCCTGCTGTAGAAGTCCAAACATTGTGCTCATTTTCATACATAGGTCTTGGGAGTTCAACCTCACTATTAACCCGGTACACGCCAGGATATCCATTTGCATTATTTTGAATCTGCAGCTCGAGCTTCTTGTCTTCGGCTAAATCCAAAGTACCATATGAAGTGTAGGGAAATTGGTCTCCAAGTTGTAAACTTAAGCAAGAACTGCTACCTAAATCAAATTGACTGCCTTCTTGCCCCATGCTATTCATCAATCCAGGGTTTCCCTTCTCTGGTTGTTTCTCAGAACTATAGAAACTGGGGTAGCCAGGGGCTGAAGACTCTCTGGAGCATTCCATGTTTCTGTAAACCACCCTTATTCAGTTAACCATAAGTCCAATATCAGTTGCCAACAATTGAAGTGCATAAAGTGTCATTGGAGCAATTGTGTGATATCTACAAGCAATAGTTTATTTGATACAAATAGGTAATGTGTTACCTATGATGCGATGATGCATTTGGTTCATTCATTAGGACGAGAGTTTGGTTGCCACTGTTTGCAAGCCATGGCATAGAATAGGTTTCGTGCATACCATTCATCATCATATGAAATGGAATCGCATTTTGGAACTGTAAGATAATAAGGTAAGTTATTGTGGATAGATTTAAGCTGTTTCTGAAAGGTCTGAAATTATGTGCATGCGGGCTGACATTACCTGGTTAGAGCAATCCAAGGACATACGCTGTTTTGTTTTCATGTTTTCCTGCCACAAGAAGAAAGCCAGTGAAAAACGATGCAACTATGATTTAGCTTTGAAGCTCTAGCGATTCCCAAATGTTCAGGGTAAATACAAAATGGTTCCAGCAGAAATATATACCATAGGCACAACTATTTTCTAATAGCATATAACAATTTCTCCGACAATAAAAAACTTCACTTGTAACAAAAGCATCTGACTACAAAAGAGATGCATATAGGTACCTTATGCAGACTGGCTCGGCGAAGTGACTCTCTAAGTGAATCTTCGATTTGCTGAATCTGTTCTAAGCTATCAATCTTATCTGGATTCGCCCAACAGCTACCAAAAATTAAGGGAATATATTACACTATTATAACAGACCAGTGTGCAATGAACAATAGTAGCTTGTGCAATAAACAGCTGAACCAAATATATGTATCAGGAGGACATTTAAACATAACAATGTGCATCATCTCATAATAATAGATGCTGCTCATCCAGGAAAACATAACAAAGTAAAATAATATATCATTTCAAAAGCTCTGAAAATGCACCTCAGTCTATTGTGTAATTCTGTAAGTTGGACTTCCATTAGTCTGGATTGATCAGTTAACTCCTGCTCATACCAGTTAAGCCAGTTAAATAATTTAGCGACGAAGACAAAACCTCACCCAAGGTGATAACCAAGTAGATGATAAGTGTTGACACCCAAGGTAATTTTACCTCCATAGTTTGGGCCCTGGAAACAGAGAAATACTGATTCAGTTTCCCCAAGTCAAAATCACGAACGCACTGACTTAATTCAGAAGAGTGTATGCATACCTTGCACCCAGAAACTCTTGTATATTCACATCATGGTCCAACTTCTTAAAGGTCTTCTTTAATGCCTATATTTTCAAGTTAACCCAATATATACATGCTTATTAGATATAACATGAGAATGAATCGGTCCACACAACAAAAATCAATCGAACAAAACCATTGCATCGTAGATGATGGACAATGGAATATTACTTCAAGGCTCTCCAATTTCCTGTTACACAGAAAGTAACACAGGTTACATTATCATCAAAACCTATGCAGTGAGGCGACAGTGGTTTGTGATCCCAAGTGTCATACCTTTTTGCTCTTTCCTGCGGAGTCAATTGACCAAATTTTGCAATGACATCTTCTATGCTACTACAATGGAAAATGAAAAAGCATGTTCACAAATGGTTATAAGAAATGTCATGATCAGTTTAGAGGTCAAAAGAAACCTTAGCTTCCCAATGAATAACTCAGAACAAAAACACTAAAATGATCAAACACAATGAAAGACTATGTTGATTCTCGTTAATACGATAGATTGCAATGCTCCTTTTTCCATAATCATTATGGGTGTAATTTTTGCAGAATCATTACGCTCTTGTTGCAATGCTCTTCTTGCCATAATCACTATGTTGATTCTGCTTTCTTTTGACTGTTTTCCCTCTTTTTCTTTCTAATTGATAATTTTAGAGATTTCCTTGCGTAAAAAGTCTTTTAGATAAAGCTAGTGTATAATAATGAATTGTTAGTCGCTGCTGTCCTTGTTTGGGTAAGGCTGAGACTGCCAGCCATATTTTCTGTTCGTGCGTTTTCACTAAAGAAGTTTGGTGTCTTGCAGGTTCAGTTCTTCCATGTCAAGAGCTTCTTCAAAGTTGCATCTGCGCAACTATTCCACAATGGCCAGTGAGAGAGGCTTCATGTCCCACCGAGTGGTTCAATCACTGCCTTCTCCATGTTGCGTGTTGGCTTGTCTGGAATGAAAGAAATGCGTTCATCTTCCAGGGGGTTTCTCAATCTCTCAAGACTCTTTGCCCTACAGCTTTGACGGAATTGGTAGATTGGCTCTTGGTCACAGAAAGATCAAGTACGAACAGGAGGCTGGTAGTCCTTTTTCCTCAGTTCGGTGCTTCATAACAGCAGCTTCTAGTTTGTAGTTCAGGGTTTGGTCTTCTTGTGGTAGATCTTGGATTTTGGTTGGTTCCGGTGCTGGTGCAGTCTGCGGAGCAAGGATGAATGGAAGGAGTTGTTGCTTTTACAACGTTTTTCTCATGCGCTCTGTTGAGCTTTTTGGTTCTTGTCTCCTTTTGGTTTTCGGTAGCAGCTTGCTTGTACCAGCTAGTTTTCTTTTTCTTTGTTTTTTCCTTCTTTGTGTTTGGTTTGGGTCATTTTCCTTGACCCTCCTTTGTTCAACAGTTTTGATTTTCTTTATTTATTAAATCAGTTGCCATTGTAAAAAAATAAAAAAAAATAATGCATGTTATTCAATAGTATAATTTTATAGTGCATTAAGTTTGATTGTAACTCCTATATAACAAGCTTAGCAACATATTTACATATATCAAATCAACTTTGAATACAAACTTGAGTTTTATAAGATTTATTGTTTCTAATTTCATAGACTTATCCCTAGTTTGTGCAGCTGAGTTACCGAACCTTGTCACCAATTGGCACATATCAAGACCCTAATTATCACTTTATTTTTCCAGAGTTCGAACCACCATAGTTCCTTTTATAATTCGAAACAGCCTAGCTACATCAGCTTGGTATCAAAACCAGGTTTACTGAGGTTTCAACTGTTATTTCTTTAGAAAAATGCACAATCAAGACTATTATCATCCTCTTCATAGATAGAAAGAATGAGCAAAGATGAAGCAAAGGGGTGAGAGTTTGCCTTTCAATCTCTTCAAGAATCTCTAACTCAACTCATTAATTCCATTCAACAATTGCTAGTAGTTCGTCCAGCTAAAAGGGCTCATTCTACAAGACTTGTTCAAGTTGCTCGAGTAGACAATGAAGAGGAAGTAGGAGACACTTCAATGAGGGAAGGGATACTACATAGATTTGGGAGATTTGGAGAATATTAATGCATAAGAGATATTTGGATACTATAAGCGAGAGCTAGAATATTGAGGAACGAAGTAAGCATGTGGAAGATTGTGTAACACAAATACACAATATGAGATGCCGCAATGTAAATGAAACCTCAATGAATCCAAAGAAAAGAATGCACGAGGGTACTACTGATGAAAAATAGCTAATGTAGTTGAGCTACAAACCTAATAATGGCTAATACTCTGCAGGATGTTATTCAACTAATTATTAAATGGAGAAACAAAGGCAAATCCTTGCATCCAATCAAGGTACCAGTGGTGTCACATCTATTTCTATACCGAAATCCATGGATTGGAAGTGTGGAGAACTAACGTCCAAAGGCTACTCAAAAAGTTTTAGAATCAAGGAGGGGGGAGGAAGAAAAGAAGAGAATTGTAGCAAAATCCAAACAATCAATTAATATTACGTGCTTTAAACCTGAGGCGACTATTTTCGGCTCATTACAACTAAAACAAAGAGACGATCAAAGAACAAAATAGCAAGATGAACTGGAATTTGAAGGTCAGAAGAGAACTTTTGGTGGTCAACAGAACTCCTAAACACTAAAGTAGTGGAACAGATGAAAAAAGTAAAGAAACAACAAATGGGTCCAACCAGAGATGAATGGAACAACAACACATGTGAAATGTTTGGTATGGGAAAATTTCAACAATGAAGGAATCACAAGTTTCATCCCTTAGTATTGGGGTAAAATGATCACAATTACTTCCAAGTTTCATCAACTTTCTTGCCATAGAGAGATTGATTAGTGCTTGATGCACTAAGTTGGTAACTCCTATATAAGGAGGTTAGTTCTAACATATTTTTCATATTGTATTATCAGCTTCAAGGTACCTAGTGATATCTTAGACTCATTAGCTGTGGGATGTGGCTCCGATTTACCAAACTTTAATACCTTCTGGTGTGGTGATTGTGCCTCCATCTTACCTATCAAACCCCTAATTTCGACTATCTTTTTTCATAGTTCCAGCAACCCTAGTTTAGGCAGCAGCCTAAGTACACCAATAGTCTATGAATTTTCGATCCAACAAAACGCATTGAAATTCAACAAGCACATGGCTTCACAAGTTAGATTACTCAATGTTCCTACATCAGGCACCAAGATAGCTCGCCTAAGCATAAATTCGGTGGATAGCTAGGTCTACTTAAAATACATTTTTCTGAAGTTCATTTCAATGAAGGGACCAAAAGTAAGAGACGTTACCTGCGATCTCCATGGAATAACGTAGGCCTCCCAGTTGGAGAAAACATGAGAAGGACAATATCTATGTCACATAGGATAGACAATTCCTTGGCCTTCTTCAGTATTCCATGCCTACGTTTGGAATAGGTTACTTGCCGATTACTGCTACTCTCCAACCTCTTTATCTTTAGCTTGACCCTTCCCATCTCTTTAATAAAGAAGCAAGGAAGAAAAAGCCTTTCCAGATGAAGCAAAGCCACCAAAATATAATTTCCTCAAGATTCCTGTATCAGGGCCTCTGCTCACTTCATTTACACAAATTGTGCACTTCTGCAATTAAAAAGCATCCGTCTCAGCCCAGGATAAACTAAATGACGGGTGTGGCTTTCACCATTGTCCAAAGACCAAATACATAACAAAAGAACCGCACCCGTTCTCCAATTGTGATCCTGTATTTTCCTGTTGTAGGGAAAACAGACTATTTGAAGAACCCAGCAGAGAGCGGTAACAGAGAACAAATTGTAGCAGGAACCATGCATTTCCGTAAACAAATATCATATATTCTAAAAAAATCCGAAACCCATAATGCAGAGAAAGCCGGATTCACCAAAACAACGCAGACCCACAAAACATCTGGACAAGGAATGAGACGGAAACTAACAGAGAAAAGGAGGGAAGAGAGAGGGTAAAATGGAAGGAAGCAGAGATTGTTGGAGAGGAGAAGTGGAGGGAATCGCGGGGGGAGAACCTGAGATTGCGGAGACGGGGGGTATAATTTAGCGGAGAACCATTAAAGCTCCGAGAATTTGAGTCTGGCGCGCTCGGTGCGGTGTCGTTGCAGTGTAGCGCGCGGTGGTGGAGAGAGAGAGGGGGCGAGAGGTGCGGACGGTGGTGAGGTGAGTAAAAAGCGTAACGATCAGTTTGTTCTCGTAAAATGTTGGTTGTTTTACTTTGCAGCTCTGCGGTTTTACATGCCTGACATCTGTGCTGCTGTGCCTCCTATTCATCTCTCTCCTTCCGGTTTGCTCTCTCGAGACACGATAGAACAGCCCCATGCGAGAATATCTTGAGGAAGGCGTTGGATTTCGACTTCTTTTCTCTCAGTCATTGTTCCGACATTAGAGGCGATCTTCGTCTTCAAAGGGAATGATTTCCCTTGTTGCCAGGGTAGGGCGGATTTGGATGCGGTTGCTTTTCAGTATGGTCGAAAATGCAAATCGGGGAAGAATGGAGAGTTTCAACATTAGCGTCCTACTAACATTAATGTCAAGTCAATAAAAATATTTCTTTAGCTGATTTTTATGTTAAAGGAATTGACCAATTAGTGTTGATTTTTAAAAATAGAGGCACGTTTATAATTTTTAAAAATTAATCAGCACACTTGTATATACTACAAGTATCATAAAACATATTAAAAATTCATCTCATTAACACAACAAATCATATAAAAAAAAACATAAAATAGCCAGAAAGCTTATAAAGCATACCAAAAACTCATCACACCACAAAACTCATAAAACAAACAAAAAACTCAGAACTGACCATAAGTTTTCTAAAGTAGATTAGAAAACTTACAAAGCTACACCACAAGACTACAAAGCTTACAATAACTCAGAGTCACACCACAAGGCACAAAACTTACAATAACTCTCACATACTACTCATATTACATCAGAAACACGACAAAAGTCAGTGTCGAAGTGGCATTTGATATAGAATTTTAAATATTGATTTTTATATGTATTTTCATCTAAATTGATTAAAATAAGAAAAAATAGTTTCAAAAAATCACAAATCGTCTTAATCGCTCTATCGATTCCGCTCCTAAGTCAACATCAAGTTGACCACTGATTCGGGCATAAATGTACACTTTTTATCACCGTTTCTCTTTGACGTTTGTGGCAATTGACCTCCAAAAAGGGTGATTTTATGCTAGGTTTGTTGTGTTCGTATGTGTTTAAGAGTCTAACGGGTGAAACCCCAGGAGTCGAAAGTTGGAAGAAAAGGAGCAAAGACCAGGCAAAGAGGAGTTCTCGGCCGCAATTCACGGTCAATGCTTGGAGTTCACGATCTCCAGAACCGTGAAGTGGAACCACAAACCGTGAACCGCGAAGCGTTCAGAGAAGTTTTAGAGGTTACTGACGCCGATGCAGTTCAGGATCACTAAAGAGACCGTGAACTAGGCGCGATTTGAGTATAAATAGAGAGCTGAAAGAAAGAAGAAGGGAGAGCCCAAAATTAGAGAAACCTTCTTCTTGAAACTCTAGAGATAGAAAGTCAGGAACCAAGAGGGAGAAGAGGCTAGGGTTTGCTCTAAGTGAAGATTTTGGAAGTTCCTCTTCAAGAGAGGATCTCTACAAGCACCAAGGAGAGTTGGAGGCATCACAAATTCATAATGATGGTTGCTTTCTTCATACTTTGTGCTCTTCCTTTGTCTAGTATGAAGTAATTTCCCTTTTCACTTGGGTATTGTAGAACCCTAACTTTTACCATGTAATTGATTGTGTGGATTGAATAATTGTGGGATGGTGGTGTTTAATTTAAGAATTGAGGTATTTTTCATGGTGATTGTGCATATTGTTTTTGTAACACTCCGACCTTTGGGTTTAGGTTCGACCTTAACACGTGATCGGCTGGATTGACAGTTGCGTACTAAAAGTTGCAATCGTATATATATATATATATAAACCTAGAGGGCCGAGCAGCCCTCAATTATTTCCCCATCCCAACTTTTCCCCAATTTCCCCAAATATACCTCACCCTAGCAACGCTGCGAGACTTGTTCCCCAACGTGAGAGTAACCGCAAAGTCGCCGCAGAGAGAAAAGGAAGAAGCGCCCGTCCCACTGCCTTTTCGGCCGCCATTAGTCATCGTTTGCTTGTCCCCGGACAAGTCCCGGAGCTTTGGTGGTAAGTATCATGACGTTCCTCACGATCTAGATCTCGTTTCATCGATAGGCTAATTCGATACTCGTCTCTTTGTACTATAGTTTTACAGGGACGTTTGAAGGTTCGAAACATTGATCAACGAGGAGTTCAACGTCTTGGGTCATCGAATTTAGTCCTAGGCACGTTCTAGAGGTAAGGGAACTCGATCCCTTTGAGATAAATCGGTCGATTTGGTGATTTTTTGTGAGGATGCAATTCTGAGTTTTTAGCAACAAACGTTCAGGCTTTTAGTGATAGATTTTGGGTGGTCACTAAAGCTGCTGGGAATTTGCAGAAACTTATTTTAGATGTTTTAAATTGTTTCGAGCATCTGTGGATGTTGTTCCTGGGTTTAACAATTTTATAAATTGAGGGAGGTGTGGATATTTGAAGATGTATTTCTATTTTTAGAAAATGTTCGAATATTCTTTTTAATTAAATAAAAATCTTTCCGAGGGGTTTTCAAGGGTCTGATAATTTTTCAGGGTATAGGTACTCGTGATTGACTTAGGAAAATTATTATCCAAATTTTAAGAAGGTTCAAGTTAGGTGAAAAATTCGTCCAAGACAAAAATAATTAGTAAAAATGGTCGGTTTGAAGGGATTATTTCTAGAAATTTTTTTAAGGGGGTGAAGGAACCTTTGGAGCAAGTTTCGAGGGCTAGATTTTGAGGAGAGGATGTTCTAGTGATTCAAAAGGGAATTCTAAATCGAGAGAGGTCGACTAAGGAGATGACCTTCTTATTAATAGGTTCACCGAGATAATTCGGCTAGGAGGGATTTCTTCGAGTAAGGAGTCGAGGAGTCATCTTTTCAAGGTGAGTGTAAAGGGGGTAAATTCTACGCCTTACGTGTTCTTTCAAGTTTGACGAGCTTTAAGTATTTTGATGAAGTGATTGTTATTTGCTTGATTGTGTTTATGATTGGTGATATGTGCTTTGTTTGAGCTTTGTGTAGAATGATTATGTATGAGTGGTTATTTACTCTAAAGCTTTGAAATTTGGAGCTATTATTAAAGTGTAAGAACCAAGTTCTTTTTCTTAAGAAGTAACTCACCTTTAAGAAGGTGAGGTCGTTTTAAGTGTTTTTAGTCACTAGCGTCAGTCCGTTGCCATTTGAGATCTTTGAGATAGAGCAGTAGTTATGCTCTTGAGACTTTTTAAGATGAGCAGCAGTTATACTCATGAGATTTTTAAGATGAGCTGCAGTTATGCTCTTGAGAATCGTGGTGAAGAGCCACCACGATAAGTTTAAGTTTAAGGAAAGCCTAGATGGGCTCTCATAGGTATGAGTTGGCAACCGAAATAGCTAGTGAGGGATCCCAGTGTTAGTCAAATATTTAAGTTGAGATTTGAGCTCTAAGTATAAATTTTTAAAGAGTAGAAGTATCATCCACCAGTTTAAGTTAAGTTCTTAAGTAAGAAATACTAGAGATTTCAAAAGTAAGGGCGTAAACTGACTCCAACTCACTCACTAGATCGTAGCGGAGGAAATCCTAACCAGCCAGTCCGTGATCAGTAAGCTAGAGGAGCTCAAGACCACCGTCGCTGAGAGATGTCGAGCCAGGCGTTAGAGTAAGCATCGAAGAACTTTTTCAAGTTATTAAGACTTTATGGTTAAGAGTTAAAGACTGGAGATTCATTTCTTTTGGACGATTTGAGTTTTGCCCACGTGTTTAGGGCTTCGATTTGAGATATTAAGATATTTGAGTTTGGTATTTTATTTAGAGTTGTGTTATTTGAGATTTTTAATTATACCCCGGGGTAGAAATGTCTTTTTTCCAAGTTCAAAGTAGTGGGATGTTTCAATTTGCTTGGCAATCTATTGTGCTATTCTAACCTAGATTAGAGAGAAGCCCCCTTATCTTAAGAGGCTCAAAATTTAGCCGGGTTTTTTTAGGCATTCCATGCCTCCTAACTAGGTTAATGAAGGGAAAACCTCTAACTTGAATTAGACACCTAGGTTAATTGTGATTTTGCCATCCAAGCCTTGGTTTGAGGGAGAAGGTAAGTCAACCCTCAATTGTTTGCGCCAAGAAGGTAAGTCCTCTAACGCTTACCTTGGCCTGGCAATTGACAGGATGGTTTCTAACCATTGTTGCACCTCCTACGAGTCACAATGAGCTTAGATCCCTCTTACCATGACGAGTAACATCACAGTTGTCACTAGTGAGTATGATGGAGGTATAAGATTAGTCCACACCCAAATGTTGATTGTACCGAAATGCTTTATCCCCTAGTCAACCCCTTTGAGTCTTGTAACTTTGGGGGTCATTCTCTTGTAGGAGGTTTTTGCTTATGAGCTTAATGGTGTTTGATAGAACGACCCCCATCCTTTTTTGGTGTCTATACGTGTGTCATCCTTGTGTCTCGGAGCTCTCGCTTTTGAGTTCCATTGAGGTTCTACATATGAGGATTGTGTGCAGGTCTTGCTAGGAATGAAAGAGAAAAGAGTAGTGTTGGAGTAAGTTCTTAAAAGGGAGAATTGGTTGTTAAAGGTAATATGGCAAGTGTTTTACTCTCTAGTACCACCCTCAAAAAGAAAAGAAAAGAGAAAAAGAAAGAGAAGGAAAGTAGAAAGAAAAAGAATAGAAAAAGGTAATAAAATGGGGTAAATAAAGTAGAGAGTGCCACAAAAATCAATGAGTATGCTCTAAGAGGGGTTGCTGGGCACTCAAGCCATTGAAACCCCCCTCATTGTTATTGAGCTCCTTCACTTTTTATACCCGTTTCTCTTTGACATTTGTGGCAATTGAGCTCCAAAAGGGGTGGTTTTACGCTAGGTTTCTTGTGTTTCAATGTGTTTCATTGTGCATATTGTTTGCTTGACAATCTATTGTGCTATTCTAACCTATATTAGAGAGAAGCCCCCTTATCTTAAGAGGCTCAAAATTGAGCTGAGTTTTCTTTGGCATTCCATGCCTCCTAACTCGGTTAATGAAGGGCAAACATCTACTTGAATTAGACACCCAGGTTAATTGTGATTATGCCATCCAAGCCTTGATTTGAGGGAGAAGGTAAGTCAACCCTCAATTGCTTGCGCCAAGAGGGCTATAATTGTAGCCTCTAATGCTTACCTTGGCCTAGAGATTGAGAGGATGGTTTCTAACCATTGTTGCACCTCCTACGGGTCACAATCGCTTCGTCTGACACCAGTTCATTCGATTGCACGGTTCATGGTAGTTAGTTAGGGGGAAGCAACACCCGAGTGAAGCTTCTCAATAAGAGTTTTCCAACCATTTACTTTTCAAGTCTTGCTTTTAAATCGTAGATTGTAGAGATTTCAACAAACAACAATCCGCTAGATAATGTTTCAAACAATCGAAGTAGGGTAAATGGGCTGGCACATGTTGATATTTAAACATACGTGTCCTATATTGCACCCATCTAAAGTTTATACTTGAGCGTTAGGTGAGATTTTATTGTGATAGTCGGAGTGAGTCAAGTATTTGGCGCCGTTACCGGGAAACTTCGGTCTGTTAGCTTCAAAAGATTGTTTGGTGTTAATCTAATTATCTTAAGTTTTTCTAAGTGTGAAGTGTGCTTGTGCTAGACGTGTTGTGTTCCTTAAGTGTGTGTAGGGAGGTGCATGACCCGGAGCAATCCGGCGCCTTTAACACCACTGGACGAGGACATCAACCGGACGCTCCGACTTTTATCTCAAGATAGGGAGCTAGTAGAGGCAAGAAGGAGAATTGAAGACAGGGGACAACAAGTTGGTCCCGGATTTGAAGGATTTGAAGGAGAAATTGAAGTTCAGATGGCGGGGAATCAACATCGAGGTGCTAATCCTCTTCAGAACCAAAATGAGAAAGCGGGAGCCGAGGAAGAGCCAAGGACTATGGGCTATTACATGGCTCCACGGGCGGCGGATATCCAATCTACCAGCTTACATCCACCTGTGGCCGCCAACAACTTTGAAATCAACCCCGCTACCGTGACGATAATTCAAAACAATGCCTTATTCCACGGGCTTGCCAATGAATCATCGCAAGGGCATGTACAAAGGTTTCTTGAGCTTGCGGGAAGCTTGAGGATAAATGGCATCCCTGAGGAGTCATTGCAACTGAGGCTATTCCACTATTCTTTGGCGGGGAAGGCTCTCTGATGGCTCAACAACCGTTTGGCTTGATCCATCACTGATATGATCCCAATTGGATCAATCCACAATTCACAGTTACTTCCCAAAGAACGCGTTGATCGTGGTCGGGCATCTACCTTTATATCATTCGAGCCTTCTTCCACGTGAAAGATTGCACGTTTGATTCCGTTTTATCCAAACAGCCAAGAACATCCTTGTTTTTGGTTCGAATTTCGTTTTAATCTATCCGATCCTTGGATTGATTGAGTTGCTGCGTACTTTGGTAAAAATCCAACCCCCCAGGGTTGCATTAATCACCTCTTGGGACGATTTACTTAACAAGTTCATGACCCGATATCGTCTTCCTTCCAAGACGACTGAGTGGAGGAAGAAGATCACTCACTTTGAGGAAGAGGAAGCTGAGACTTTGAGGGATGCATGGTAAAGATTCTCCAACTACTTCCTTGAATGCCCTCACCATGGATTCGAGGAGCAATTTCGGATAGAGACTTTCTATGGAGGTCTCATTGAAGATGGCAAGATTCTCATCGACTCTCTTTGCCAAGGGAAGTTTATGAACATGACCCCACCTCAAGTGACCGAGTTGCTCCAAGATGATCTCAAGGAATATGATTGGGTTTTGACAACAAGTGGGAAGAGAAGCACCGAAAGAGGAGTGCAAAGTGTTGGAGTAAGTGCTCCAGTTGAAGCAAAGTTCGACAAGTTGATCGAGGTGATTCTTGAGGACAAGAAGCAAGGGAAGAGAGCAGTGATGTCTTGTGATTGGTGTTCGAGCACCAATCATGAAATTGCGGATTGCCAAGCGATGAAGGAGACAAGCACCGTAACACCCCGACATGTGGGTCTAGGTTCGACCAACATGTGGATCTAGATTCAACCAAACAGTTCGATTAACGGTTACGTACGAAGGGTTCGACCATAGATTAGAGATATTACTAATATCCATTATTGCTATTATTATTATTATTATTATTATAATGATAATCATCACTCATCACTCACGTATTCCCCCCGGCAAACTATTATTATAATCTTAATTTTTAAAACCCCCACCTGCACGTATTCCCCCATAGCAACCCGGTAATTCATTAAACCCCCACTCCTAAACGCTCTTTAATAGTAAACCCCTCCCCCACCGGAAATTGAAGTAAGCAAAGAGAACCGAAGGAAAGAACGATAGGAAGGGGGAGGGGGGAATCCTCCCTCGTCGTCATCACCATTCCACAGCAAGAGGAGCTTCGTGCAACCAAGCCTTCCTGCGAGAGCAAACGTGCAATACTTAACATCCCACCCTAAAATTATAGGTCGAACCAATGGTTCAACCGCGCAGTGGAAATCACTCGGGGTTTACATTTTCAAAATCTCGACTCAACTCACATCCACATAATTATGATATGTTTAAAACTAACTCATCATAATAATTTACTAAAAATCACTTTCCCAATTCATTAATCAATCTTCCTCAAAACCAGGATTCGCAGAACCCAGACTATCAATCTCATCTACTCAACTCAAGTTAATGATCATACTTGACCAATGTAAACTATAATGCATGCTCAAACCTCGAATCATAAAATAAGGATTTTAGAATACATCAATATGTGGAAAAAAAATCTTTTTAATCAAAATCCTTCATTGATCATTGTGCAGTGCCAGAGTCATCCTCAATTTACCACACCTGTCACATATAGAAAGAAAAATCGGTCAGCTACTAAGCTGAGTGTGTGGACCTAACCTATATGGCAAAACTATTGTTAGCATGCCATCACATCATCACATCTTGTTGATTATAAACACATCATCAACAAATTATCACGCCACATGAAAATCTCATTAATCCCTAGATTTCTCAATGATATAAATAATTCATTCTCTTCAATCAATCTTGACATAACTGCCAAGTACTCAATTTACAATACCTCATTCACTCATCATAATCATTTAACACATCAAATACAAATCGATCATGATAATATCTCATCCACATCATCATTAATCAACACATTCATTATATCAACATTGTCACAAAATATCTCAGTAATATTCATATATATCAATCACATTTATACGAATCGATATTCTAATCACGTTATACTCATACACGTCAATCATATCACTATCAATCAACATCCTTATCATCATCATCATGTCACAATCATACATATCAATCAAAAATATATATTTTATTCATCATCAAATCATTTTATCATACGAACTATATAATCTAAAATACATCAGTTCATCAATATCGTCCATTAATTAATTTTATCAAAATATCAATTAAACATATTATGATCAAAACCTCATCTTCGTAGATTTCTATTAATAACTTGAAATCATTCTAAGAAGAACCATACCCAATATATAATTCTAATGATTATTAAAAGATCTCCATTAATTATACATCTCTCAGTGATCATTTCTTAAAATACAAATCAAAATTAAAATCCATTAATAAAACCATCTTTCGTATTTCAGCTACATACTCAATCTACCATTACTAAAAATTGTTCTGGATACTTAAATCAAATCTAACAAAATCCAATTATCACAAATATAATTATTCTTATGGTAAGATCTCATGACCAAAAACCATCTCACTAGTTCTTAAATATAATTTTCTCGTTGTGATAACAATAGACATTTTCCGGAAATACTCAATTTTCCACGGGATAGGTACACGGTCAAGAGACACATCATCATCATTTGTGTCTGAATCTGGGCCTCAATCATCAGCACCTTCAAGGGGGTCGAAGCTATCTGCACTAACATCGCCTTCCTCCTCCTCATCCTTAAGGTCACTAACTGGACATGGCAGGATATCTTCCATTCGATCTAGATCATGAAAGGCAACTTCATCATCTTTGTAATGGTAGTTGTGATAACTGCCACTGCCTTGGTGGAAGTTGTACGCTGGTTGGTACTGGTAGCCTTCTTGTTGGTTGTCATGGTACCCTTCATTTGATGGGAAGGATTGATGATGACCTCCACCTCCTTCTTGGTACTCATGGTAGGTACGAGGATCATGGTAACCTTGGTATGGATGATCTCCGTATAATCCACCTCCATCATGGATATTAGATGTTTGGTAATCTCCAGAATGACCTCCACCACTCTCAACCGCATTTGTGTAAACGAACATCCCAGCTTGTTTAATGTTATTGGCGATTAAAAATTTGACCATGGCATCTACGTCCTCCTGAGTGGTTGTAACACCCCAATTTCAGGTTAGGATTCGATTAAGGTTCGACCGAACATTTGGATCGACGGTTGCGTACAAAGAGTTACAACCTCAGATTAGGGATAATAATAATAATAATTATTATTATATAATAATTATTATTATTATTCAGGAAAAAGAAAATAACCTAATCCAACCGGCCACACTTCTCCATCATCAATTATTAGTCTAGGTCTGGGGGAAAATTCTAGGTTTAGCGAGCTCTTCACCATGGATCTTTGGCTGAGTTCTCTCAAAAGCAAGGCAATCCAGGACGGGCTCTGTTTCCCATTGCTGATCGACATCACGGAGGAGGCAGAACTGCATGTGCCCAACTGCTTCTCCACCCTCCCGGACGAGCTCAAGCTCGGGATCATGGCGCGACTGCCGGCGGAGGCCCTGGCGAGGATGGAATGCGTGTGCGCTGGCCTCCGGAGCCTGTCTGCCTCCAGCAATCAGCTGTGGGAGGCCAAGTACTGCGAGGTGTTCGGCAAGGTCGTGGTGGCGGAAGCAGGGTCGAGTTCTTCGGTGGAGAAGAATTGGAAGAAGCGGTTCACTAGGAGAGCGGAGAGGAAGATGAAGCTTGCCATAGAACAAGAAAGAAGGGCAGGGGTTCAATGAAATTACTGGGGGGACCGATGGCAACATCGTCCTTGTCGGCCTGTGAAATGGAATTGGAAGTGTGTTGACTAGGACTTTCGGCAATCCTCTAGGAATTCTGGCAAGGCAATTGGGGCATACTTTACACAAGGTGACTGATAAGTGTCCTCTTTATGAACCTGATGGGAAGCCGGTTGATCTAGATACATACATGAAGGTCGAGGCAGCATTTAATCGATTGTTGGAATAAGGAAATCCGAGAGTGCCAATCAACTCTCAGAGGTGGGAATTTCGCATCATAGTTCCTTTGCTCTTTTATCTCTTTTAATGGGCGCCTTTTTGTCGGCCTTAATGGCTGTTTGGTTGCTGAGGTAGTTTACTCATGTATGCATGGTAGCTAAGAATTGTCTCTATACTTGGTACAAGAGTTTTCACATCAAAAGGATTGAAAAACCAGAGAGATGATGATGGATAATCAGGTGCCGCCACCTGCAGCATCTCCAACTTAAGATAATGGTGGAGAAATGAAAGAGTTGTTCGGTGGAATTGGACAAGTAAGAATTTCAAGGAGGGATGAACTCAAGGTGATCGACACTTTTCATGGTGGTTAGATCTAGTTAATTGAGACGATATCAAGGTGAGTGTAAAGGGGGTAAATTCTACGCCTTACGTATTCTTTTAAGTATTATGATTTTAAGTATTTTAGCGAATTGGTTACCATTGCTTAGTTATGTGTATGATTGATTATTTGTGCTTTGCTTGAGTTATGGTTTGAGGTGATTTTGTGCTATTTGATGTGATATGAGGTGATTTTGTGCTATTTACCTTAAAGCGTTATGTTTGAGTTATTGTTAAAGTTTAAGAAAAAAGTTCTTTTTAAGAAGTAACTCACCTTCAAGAAGGTGAAGTCGTTTTAAGTATTTTTAATCACTGGCGCCAGTTCGTTGCCATTTGAGATTTTCAGATAGAGCAGCAGTTACGCTCTTGAGATCTTTGAGACAGAGCAGCAGTTATGCTCTTGATACTTCTAAAATGGGCAGCAGTTATGCCCTTGCGAATCGTGGTGAAGAGCCACCACGGTAAGTTTAAGATGTTAGGGGATGAATCGTTACGACTTCCCTAACTAAGTTAAGTTTATGGAAAGCCTGAGTGGCTTCTCATACGTATGAGTTGGCAACCGGACTAGCTAGTGAGGGATCCCCGTGTCAGTCAAGTATTTAAGTCAAGATTTGAGCTTTAAAAGAGGAGAGTAACTTCAACTCCCTCAAAGTTTAAGAGTTAAGATTTTAAGATTGGAAGTACAAACAACTTCCACCAGTTAAGTGTTTAAGTAAGTACTCAAGTATTAGAAGTATTAAAAACGTAAGGGCGTAGACGGACCCCATCTCACTCACCAGGACTTAGTAAAGGAATAAGCGAGAACTAGATCGATAGTTGCAGCTAGAGGAGCAGTTAGAGAGCAGCGAGATCGAGAGAAACAGTTCGAGGGAAGCTAGCTAGATGAGGACGGTACAAGCTAATTAGTTATGATGTTTTATGATTATGAGTATAGATTGGAGATCAAGTTGAGTTTTTAAAGTTTGTGTTTAATTTTCCCACAAGTTAGGGCATTACTTTGAACTACAAGTGTGTGTTTTCGGTATTTTATTTATAAATTTTTTTTCCAGTTGCAATTTAAGATTTGAGTATTTTATTTATCAAGGGCATTTTAGTAAAAGTAGTACCCGGCCGGGTTAGGGTGTTTCATTTTGGTATCAGAGCCGGTCTTCCTCTGTTCCTTGGTTTCCGAGGAATACTGGAATGTCGGTCTCAGTTTTTAAAGGTTTTGTTTTAAAGGAAAGGAAAATGAGTCAAGGGTCTCATTTTAAGAGTCTATAGAATCTTCAGTCTACTCTAATCGTATTAAGGTAAATAACTAAAGTTTTAATAGAAGAGGTTCCAATAGTAAGGGAATACCTCTAGGATTTTTGGAAGGAGTTGAAGGGGTAGTACGAGGATTCTACTACTAGGCAGCAAGGAGAGGATCTAATAAGCAAAAGCAAACAAATAGGAGAACTATGAATCTCCGAAGAAAGATCTACAATCACTAGATGAATGTAGCTATAATGATTAGAGGATTTCAGGGTTCTTGACCCTAAGCAGTGGCGAGGAGGCAACAAGTCAAGAAAAGAAGAGGTACCACAAGAAGTCCCTCAACTAGCTTTAGTTGTCGACGACTTGACGCTATTACAACATAGTGACAAGGAGCAGTGAAAAGCTTAGACTTAAAGAAAAGCAAGGGTAGTATAAATGAAGCAAAGGAGGAAATAAGTAGGTTATGGGGAGTATGAAAGGACGTCAACAAGTCAAAATGGTCAAGGAGGAGATGAGTCAGGGTCATTTACATAATGACGATAAAGGAACCCTTGTAGATAAACTACGTCACTAGAAAAGAGGTTACATGACCCTGGGTAGTTAGGCAGATAACAAGCCTTTAAAAGGAACAAGACAAGCAACGAGATAAATGATGTAGAGGTTGAGGTTAGATCAGGCATGCTATACACCTGTCAAGCGCAAGCTAGAGGGCAAGGTATGAGAAGGGGTTGAGAGACCCTGCAAATTACCATGATCAAGGAGAATCATAAAATCGTGGAATTCCAAGGAATCCATTGGGAAAGTCTAAAGTGGGAACTAGAGGGCCAAGAGCGAGAGTCTCGGAACCAGCCGTAGGAGTAAATCATTCAATCAACCGGGTATAGACAAGCAAGTACAACGTTCATTAGAAGTTCTAATGAAAGTTGGAGAATTCAAGGAAGAGTCTAAACGGTCGTAATGAAGAGAGTTTGCAAACAATACCAAGGAAGAGAAAAAAGGCCAGAGGGAGTTTGACGAGATTTCAAGAAGTCAATGGGTCAAGTCTCAGGTGACTCGAGGTCAAGAAGCTGCACAAAGAGGTACGATGAGGGAAAGCATTACCGAGTAGGAGGAAAAAGAGAAGTTACCTTATCCAAGGTGCCCCACTCTGAGTGGGCGCGGCATAGTAGGAGGGCTCCAGAGGAGACAACTAGTTAAGGATGAAACAGGCACGCTTAGTTAAGCCACTAAGAATTCTAACTAAGAGACTAAGTGTAGGTACAAGATCGATCAACAATAGGGACATGGAATGAGTTATGTTAAAGGTTACCAAGGGCAAGCCACCATTGGAAGTTGTGACCTAAAACAACAACGAGAAGATACTCAACAGAGTTTGGTGACCGAATATTGTACAAAGCATCAACAGAAGGGTAGTAAAAGTAAAGAAGCAAGGAGAACACCATAGGACGCTATAGGAAATAAAATAAAAAAAGGTGGTTGTCGAGCGGACAATGAATGCGTGAAGGAAGATAGTTGGGACGTGGTCAAGCACCATCGTGAGTAGAAGTCGTGAGTGCCATCTGGAAAGTCTACCTAGAGAAAGTTTCTAGTGGAAATGTTCGCTCTGAGGTATGGTGAGGAGCTACTAAACTGAGTAGATCAAAGCTAGTACCAAGCATCGATGAAGGAGTTGTGGAAGTAAGGAGGAAATCACAAGCTATAATGAAAGTTATGGTGAAAAGGGTGGTAGTTGATAAACCATCAAATTCAGGGAGAAAGATAGTTAGGAAGAGCCAGCGAAAGAATACGAAGGTCAACAAGGAGGCATTAAGGTAATGGCCAGTGGAGAATAAGTTGAACCATAGGAAGCCCAGCAAAAACGGAGAAGCTCAATGGTCAACTTTAAAGTAGAAGTGTGGTGGTTCAGAACGGTCAAAGGGAAAACCTTATCGGTCAAGGTACATAAGTGAGAAGGGGCACCAAGATGACCACATCGAGGACGAGGGACATATAGAACTAGCGAGAAACATCGGTAAGAGGAGTCACGAGTAAGGAAGTAAGATGGATACGAGTTTAGCGAACCTGCTAGGATACCCTAAAGTGAAAGCAATACCACCTATGAGTGTGAAATGTGGCGACCTCTCGAGTGAGAACTTCTTAGATGGGGAAACTGTACGTGGAATTTCAGGCGAGGTCTAAGAACAATAGAAGAGATCGTACGAGAACTCCCAAGTCAAACAGTGATAAGGAAGTTTTAAGTTAGGTGCCATGAGTGAAAAAGTACTCAAAATGGAAGGTCATGATTCTGGAAAGAAGTCATAAAATTGATCGCAAACTAGGAAAGGATGCAAAGGATGCCGCTAATGCATACAGAAAGTGAAAGCAGTAGTATGAGATTTTAGAGTTAAGCAAGAAGTAACGATGAGATGACCACTCAGGTTAGGGTTAAAGGATAAGACGAAGCATCAAAGAAGAAATTAAGAGATACAAAGTCAGGAGGTACAACGTCCTATGTCACCTATGAGGTCAACCGCAGACGAGAGTTACGTTAAAAGAGTTTTACCACCTTACTAGATGGAGGATAAGCCGCCATCAGTGACCTTGGGGTTGGAGAGGGGCATTAACTTCTCACATACCGAACAATGGATAGTTATCGTTCCTATATATGTACAACGTGCAACCGAGGTAATGTGAGGGGTTAAGAAGCCACAACAACATTGAAGTTGCAGGGAATGGAGAGAAGGATTTTAGGTCATGTCGCATAAGTTAAAGGAAATAAAAATCCGCGACGTGAAAAGGATTACCACAAGCGATGCTTAGGGTAATCACAGTGGACCAATTTCGAGCGCGAAATTTCTATAAGTGGGGAGGAAATGTGATACCTCGACTTTGATAGGTTCAACATCAAGTACTGAATCAGTTGGACCAAATAAATTGAGCCGAAATTTTGTCCCATCACACCCTGGCCCCAAGTTGGAAAATTGTAAAAAGGGCAATGAGTCACTCAAACCTATTCGATGCTACCAAGCTAGATGAGAATATATGTTATGTTTAAGAGTACATATAAGAACTAAAGTAAGCTATTCAAGACAAGGTAAGGGCACGCCATTGAAGTTCATATAGAAAGAGTGAAATCTTGAGCCAAAGAAGCACGAGAATGAGGAGTATGAAAGGATGAGCCCAATCAAATTTTGGGGACGAAATTTTTATAAGGGGGGAGGAAATGTAACACCCCATTTTCAGGTTAAGATTCGATTAAGGTTCGACCGACAGTTTGGATCGACGGTTGCATACAAAGAGTTACAACCTCAGATTAGGGATAATAATAATAATAATAATAATAATAATAATAATAATAATAATTATATGATTATTATTATTATTATTCAGGAAAAAGAAAATAACCTAATCCAACCGGCCACACTTCTCCATCGTCAATTATTAGTCTAGGTCTGGGGGAAAATTCTAGGTTTAGCGAACTCTTCACCATGGATCTTTGGCTGAGGTCTCTCAAAAGCAAGGTGATCCAGGACGGGCTCTGTTTCCCATTGCTGATCGACATCACGGAGGAGGCAGGACTGCATGTGCCCAACTGCTTCTCCACCCTCCCGGACGAGCTCAAGCTCGGGATCATGGCGCGGCTGCCAGCGAAGGCTCTGACGAGGATGGAATGCGTGTGTGCTGGCCTCCAGAGCCTGTCTGCGTCTAGCAATCAGATGTGGGAGGGTACTGCCAGGTGTTCGGCAAGGTCGTGGTGGCGGAAGCAAGGTCGAGTTCTTCGGTGGACAAGAATTGGAAGAAGCGGTTCACTAGGAGAGCGGAGAGGAAGAGGAAGCTTTCCATAGAACAAGAAAGAAGGGCAGGGGTTCGATGAAATTACTGGGGGGAACGATGGCAACATCGTCCTTGTCGGCCTGTGAAATGGAATTGGAAGTGTGTTGACTAGGACTTTAGGTAATCCTCTAGGAATTCTGGCAAGGCAATTGGGGCATACTTTACACAAGGTGACTGATAAGTGTCCTCTTTATGCACCTGATGGGGAGCAGTTGATCTAGATACAAACATGATGGTCAAGGCAGCATTTAATCGATTGTTGGAATAAGGAAATGCGAGAGTGCCAATCGACTCACAGAGGTGGGAATTGCGCATCATAGTTCCTTTGCTCTTTTATCTCTTTTAATGGGCGCCTTTTTGTCGGCCTTAATGGCTGTTTGGTTGCTGAGGTAGTTTACCCACGTATGCATGGTAGCTAAGAATTGTCTCTAAACTTGGTACAAGATTTTTCTCATCAAAAGGATTGAAAAACCAGAGAGATGATGATGGATAATCAGGTGCCGCCACCTGCAGCATCGCCAACTTAAGATAGTGGTGGAGAATTGAAAGAGTTGTTCGGTGGAATTGGACAAGTTGGAATTTCAAGGAGGGATGAACTCAAGGAGATCGACACTTTTCATGGTGGTTGGTTCTAGTTAATTGACACGATATCAAGGTGAGTGTAAAGGGTGTAAATTCTATGCCTTACGTATTTAAGTCAAGATTTGAGCTTTAAAAGAGAAGAGTAACTTCAACTCCCTTAAAGTTTAAGAGTTAAGGTTTTAAGATTGGAAGTACAAACAACTTCCACCAGTTAAGTGTTTAAGTAAAGTACTCAAGTATTAGAAGTATTAAAAACGTAAGGGCGTAGACTGGCCCCATCTCACTCACCAAGACTTAGTAAAGGAATAAGCGAGAACTAGATCGATAGTTGCAGCTAGAGGAGCAGTTGGAGAGCAGCGAGATCGAGAGAAACAGTTCGAGGGAAGCTAGCTAGAGGAGGACGGTACAAGCGTCACAAATGATGTCTAGTCAGAGTTTCACACAAGCAGCAGCAATTGAGACGAATTAGTTATGATATTTTATGATTATGAGTATAGACTGGAGATCAAGTTGAGTTTTTAAAGTTTGTGTTTAATTTGCCCACATGTTAGGGCTTTACTTTGAACTACAAGTGTGTGTTTTCGGTATTTTATTTATCAAAATTTTTCCCAGTTGCAATTTAAGATTTGAGTATTTTATTTATCAAGGGCATTTTAGTAAAAGTAGTACCCGGCCGGGTTAGGATGTTTCAGTGGTTATAAGAAAGTCCTCATACCACAACGACCTGCCATTTCTGTTTGGATATCGATACACCATACGGTTAACTCTTCTCGTGCCATCCATGCAAGTAACCTCAGTACACATTTGACGAAGCTATTCAAGGTTCAGTCTCGTAGCGACCTTCACTTTATGAAAGTACCACTAACGTAATGTACCCCCTTTTCGGTCTCTTTCATATAACCATTCCACTATAACCCAAGTGTGAACTTTTGAAATGCCATCTGCTATAAAATCGTAACTAAAAGTAATAAAAACCCAAACTTACGAAGTAACCTTAATCGCAAATACTCAAAAATTAATATGCACAACATAAATTTGAAGAAGAATAAGGAGAGGGTACAAGGGTGAGGAGCTAATGTTCTCGGAGCTACTTTTTATAGGCAAAATTTTACTACAAACCACCGGGGGAGGGGGCGGTTTTAGTCTACCATGCAGCCCCACGTCGTCTGCACCCGTGCATGCATGCACATGTCGGAGGGAATGGGGACGACACACAAAACTTTGGGGAAGGGGGCAGTTTGTGTGTCGACACAGTGAAAACCGCATGCTGAAGGAGTGGTTTCAGTTGTCGACTTATAACCACTCCTTCAAAAAGAGGTTTGTTGAAAAGCAGCCAATGAAACTCCTTTCTAGGGCGCGGTTTAAGAAAAACAATTAAAACACCTTTTCCAAACGCAGTTCTTACACAAACTGCAATGTCACCAAGCGGTTCATATGAAAATTGCCTCTTGGGGTGGCAGTTTTTAATTAATGGTGGTAGATTTGGAATTTTTTCGGTTTGGGTGGTATATTTGTAATTTTTTTATTAAACAGTGGTATTTTTGGAATCTTTTCGTGGACCACTTGGTAGCTGAAACGGACTTCGAGATCTAGTTTTTGGATCTAAGAATCAAAGAGAAAACAAGGTTACAGAAAGGCACTCGAAACGACAGCCCCAATTGGAATACAGTGTCGTTGTTGCTGTTTTACGTGGCACCTCTACTTTGTCAGAAAGTTACCTCAGAGCTTCCTGATTTGCTGGCCATGAGTTTGGAGCCTTCTGATTGGCTAGATGATGTAGTAGCTACGAGTTTCTCTCCCCAGAAGCCTAATCAAAGGCCCATAAATAGGCCTCTAGAGATAGAAATCGGGAGAAGGAGACGAGAGGTCAAGGAAGGGTCATTACAAAACCGACAGAGCGAATCACCTGACCTAAAGCGAAACCAACCAGAAGGAAGGAATCGTCTCCCATAATGGTGGCCTAGGCCCTATTTCATCCGTTATGGTCGTCGATTCTAGTGGGTTCTGAGTACTTCATTTCGATATGTGATCACCTAGAAACCCTTCCACATGGCTTGCTAGTTCCTTTAGTTGCTTAGGTATATGAACCCTTCCCCATGGCTTGTAAAAATCAATGTTTGGCTTAATAAAGGTATATTATTTCCATATGTGTTGATGTTTGATTTCTCCTATTTTTTGTCTGTCGATTGGAATGAATGTTTAGTCGGCGCTCCTTCGAGGTACAAGGATCAAAATCACAGTCGTGTAGGATTAGACCAGACATTGGAGTCATATTCGATGGATCCTTATTCTATCGAATGGCGTGATGCCTGAATGGAGAAATTCGTAGGGTCATAGTCACCTATAAGTTTGGTAAATGTTTCAAAACAAGGTGGGATATAACAAAATACGAAATCGGAAGCTCGTATGTGGGCGAATATCGAGGGATATGTGAGTAGGAGACCTAGGGGGAGCTTGCCTATGCAACGTCTCCTGATATGCTCTCTCGTCCATCCAACTTAGCTATAGATTTAATTTTCTACACGCTTTCTTTTCGTTTTAGTTTTTCAAAACTAAATGTGCCTCAACCTCCTATATCGTATTCTACACAAATTGAACTGTACCTCGCCACCAAAGTAAGGGTTATGTGAGAGACCCTAGGGGAATACGATACTTGCCTTCGGGTAGGTAAATTTGGTTCATGCTACAATCGATGACATCAATAAACAAGTGCTAAATCTTAACACATTCATATAGGAAGCATTTGTAGCATGAAATCAATCTCAAATGGCTAAATGATGATTATGACATACAATATTCTAAGAAATCAAAGGTTAAATAACACCAATTTAGGTGCAGCAATACATCTCCTACTTATCAAGCTCATCGAGCATATACTTTGCCGAAATAACTAGGGTGAGCAGCCGCCATGCGATTTTAATATATAGGATTCATTCATCCTTGTTGAGTAAAAAAGACCCAACCCTCCTCCTTTGGGTGGTAGATGGTCACCTAGTCTACAAGATGCATTTTCTGACTGCTTTATATGCCCCCAGACAAAATTGATTACATCTTGTCGCAACCGTCCCTCTGAGGTTCGCAGTCGCGTTCGCTTTTTGGGAGTCGCCATCGATCTTAATTGGAGTGGATCGAACACTAATCGGTTGGCTCTAACATTAGGATTAGAGCCGAGGCTTGGTCTGCGGTTAAGAGATATGGGTTCGGGAGTACGGTTACGCGTGGGGTAGTCAAGCAACACCCAGCGCCCTAAATCGGTACAAGTTAAGTTGATAAGTCTTATACGAGTTGGGTGTATTTTATGTATTTTTACGGGTCCCAATGGAACACTAAAGAGTTTTATTGTATTGGTTTATAATTTTGATTATACGCCCCGTGGCGTTCATTTCAAAAATAAATTTTGTTAGTTAGTTGTATTTGATTATACGCCCACTAACGTATAATTTAAAGATAAAGTTAGTCGATTAGTTGGACTCAAACCTTGTCGATTGCCTACGTACCCATATTACGGGATCAAAGTCCACGTAGTTCGTTATAACTTTGATAATTTTAAGATATGACTTTTGTCACGTTACACTTATAGTGGTTCTCGTATTAAGGATTTTGTGAACTTTGATAGTTTTAATCATAACTTTTATCACGTTCCACTGAACGTAATTCCCGCATTATAATTTTGTTAATAAAATTTCATTTAGATTATTATGATGTTAAGAAGAAATTTGATGCATTAGAAAAGAAGCAAAACTAACTTAACCGCATTCGGTACTAAACAACAAAACTAAACGGAATGATTAGATTTACGCATGATGGACCAACAACCCAACTGGTTAAGTCGCTATATGGGGTGCGCACTCGATCCCGAGGAAGAGGTTTCAAAACTCAGCAACTACAATTTCAAGATCGTCGTTTTTGTTCAGAGGCTGGGGGAGGGTAATTTCGTAAATCATCAAAAACACGGTGGCAAGGCCGCGTAAATGGTTAGAAACCCTAATCAAACAAACACCGCCCTCTGTCTCACCTCTCTCTTTCTCTCGTTCTCTCTTCTCTAAATCGAGAACGAACGATGAAACCACAAAAAAATGAAAAACGGTCGCCCTCTCCCTCTCTCGATTCTCTACTCCCCTCTCCTAATTCCAGAAAGCAAATCCCTAGCTCTCTCCTCTACGCCGCCGTCTTCTCCTTCTCTCGGCTAACCATGGGAATTGCTCGTATGGAGATAAATCAACCTAGAAGGTTTCGATCTTGGTAAGATCCTAGACATGCATGTTCTTTTCAATTCGTTTTAGGTGATTTTATTTTGGATTTGACTAATTTTCTTGGGTCTTGATTCTTGTGCGAGGGGGAAATGAGATCGACAACTCACAGAATTCTTCGGCGGGGATGTCGAGCTTACCGCCCGCTGGAATGGGGTTCGGCGAGGAAAGAAAGAAAGGAAGTCGCCTCCGGCTATGGAAGGTGGCTTCGCCGGCGACGACTAATTCCGGGTAAGGTTTCGCTTTCCGTGTTTTCTTTGATTTATTCTAGATCGAACTTTTATTTTGTTTCAAAAACGATATTATAGTATTTCTTTTCTGTTTTTGCAGATCCAAAGATAGTCTAGATCTGGGGTAGTTTATCTTGAACCGATATTAGTGACTAGGGATTTCGAACTAGAAGAATGGAAAACAGAAAAAGAAAAGAATACTTTGTGAACTTGAAATTGATTTGCAGATCTGGGTTTTAGCGAATATGGTTGGGTTTGCATATTCAGGATCTAGGGTTTAGGGAAAAGAAGGAATTTTTACAGTTAATGTCATTACTCGTAAATAAATGATTTTTATATAATTTTTTTTGTAAAATGTAGTCTTGCTTTCGGTCTCATAGCCACTGCTTGTGATTTTTATTAGACTAGGGTTGATTTTAAAAAATAGTTATGGGTTTGTAAAATCTGAAATTTATTTTGTGTCGGTGATTTTTGTTGGGTATGGATCTAGGTTGATACATGGACTTCTAAAAGTGGGTATTGGAAAAAAATGTACTATTTAGTTGTACTTTAACTTGCACATATATATGTATGGCTACGAACAGAAAATTGAAACAAAACATTCAACTCCACTCATAGTTAAGTTAATCAGCATAATAGTAATAGTATAGACAAAGCTGGTAATACGAGAGAAAAAACTTTAATGAAAGAACTTAATCTATTGCTGACTAACATTTAGTCTAAAAAAAATGAGGGGTGCTCTCTCCTCTCTCCTCTTTTTGTGTTCTCTGCTCGGAAGATGGGTTTCATGGGTCCTCACTGCCATTTTTGCGACCAGCTTGCGGAATCAAAACAAGGTGAACTGGCTGCAAGGGTCTCGTTCCGTTCGGATCCAGGCGATGGGAATGAATGAAATCCCAATCAAAAGCAGGATGGAGGGCAATCTCCTAGCCAGCACTAACCCCAGTCTGAAAAGGGTGTCTCGGGAGATGCAGAGCTCCGGGGCTCCGACGGAAGAAACGTCTATTTCAAGATGCTTTTGCTGAAATTGAAAACCCAGATTCGCGTCCGTCAAAGAGGTATAGGAAAAAGCCACGAGTCAATGGAGGTTCTGGCTCCCCCACTCGTCAGATCTAGAGGAGGAGGATTCAGATGTAGCCTCTTCTGTTGTAGCCTCGTTCGCGAGGAGTAATATGCATACAATTCGAAATTCAATTGGCTGCAATGAATTGTGTGAAACCTTAATTCAATTTTCTCCCATAGGGGATGGGACTCGTCCCGTTACGCCAGATCTTGAGAAAGCTGGGTTGTATAAAACCTGCTTCAATGGTTGAAGATAACTTTGAATCTTTGAACCGGAAAACCCCCTTGGGGGAAGAGACTCTTTACGAGCCGTCAGACATTCGGGAAATGACGATACAAACTTATGGCTGCGTACCCAGTGTTTTCGGTGTGAATCGGATCGGCTTCTCTGGTGATGCCGACGGCCGCAAACGGCTGGAGGAGGTGCGGCCTCGTTGGACGGTTACAGATAGATTTGATCCTGATTTACCTTTTTTGCGAGGCGGGATCTTCGGATTCAATTTCCGATTAAAAAAACAAAAATTGAAACCGCCTGCAAACTCTCCCAGTCCGACCCAAACTCTAAATGACGACCGACATGGGGGAACATGACTCTTGGGGATTACGTGGTTTTTATCCTATAAATTCACCTCGCCTTTTGCTAGCCCGTCACTGTGTAGTGCTCGGAGTCTAGAATTTGCTACAAAGGCGAGGTTGGCAGAGCTTCCCCGTCGACAGTGTGTTATTCCCCTGCTTTCGTCAGGTAATGGGGTTATACCCCTTAGTTCTATTTCCAGCAGTTCATTTTTGCTTGATGGTGCTTCTCGCATGAGGATTTATTCTCCCCCTTTGTTACCGCCTG